TTCCTTATCAAGGAATTCTCCGGCCACTCAATCTGAAGCGCCTCCAGCCACATTGTAGCACACTGTCCTGTTTTATTTTCTTCATTGTAGTTATTATTAAAATCATTCTGTTTATCTGTTGTCCGTTGTCTGTTTTCCCCCCATTGAATGTAAGAGTCATGAAATCAGGACCTGTCTTTCTGATTTATAGCTATCCACATTTATTATAAGAGTGAATAAATAGGGTATTCAAAGAACTGAAAGATACATAGTATGGTTAGTGCAAAGAGTGCAAAGGAGATTGGAAAGAAATAAGATAGTGTGAAGCCAAAGAAGGGTTATCAGTAGGAGGTAACATCAATTCAACAAATACCAAGAACTTACTATGTGCCAGATACCTGCTAGGCACCGAGGACCACGTTCGTGTAAAAGATTCCCCTGGTGGGGAGAATGGGTTAAAAAGGGAAAAGACCAGAGGCATTTAGGAGACTTGCAATAATCCAGGTGGGAAATCATAGTGGCATGGTTTAGGCAAGTTACAGTGGGGATGCATGGAAAGGGATGGATTCCAGGAAAACTTGAGAGGAGGTAGAACTGAGCAGACTTGGTGATCTGTTTGTAGTAAAAAGAGGAAGGATTAATACAACTTGGGTAACTGGATGGTTGAGGGTGTTGTCACAGGAGGATAGGTTTTGTAGGGGAAAGATGGCGAGTTCAGCTCCGGAGATATTTCTGTGCTATCCAGCTGGAGATATCTGTAGGAGATATTTCTGTGCTATCCAGCTGGAGATATCTGTAGGAGATATCTGTAGGAGATATCTGTAGGATCTATTGGTCTGAGGTTCAGGTAAGAGAGCTAAACCCTAGTAGAGATTTAGAAGCTATCTGTATGTAGATGAACAATAAAATCACAGGATTGAATGAGTGCTTAGATGACAGCTGTGAAAAACACAAATTCATACAGGATAGGTAGAAGAGACTCTAGCCTGAGGGATACTTGAAGAATCAGCCAAAAATAAATAAATAAATAAAAGGGTATCTATCATGTTATGGGAGGCCAGGGAAGGGCGTTTTCATGAGAGGAAATAAGCAACGCTGTCAAAACAAATGTTCCAAACTGGTGATCATTGAAAGAGCAGTTTCCCTTAAGAAACAAGGATCTAGGCATTCTGGAAAACTGAAATACAGAGGAGGTAAGACATCAATTTAAGAGAAAGAAAGCACAATAGCAGCTGGAATGAGATGTGGATTCACGGGAGGGGTTTTGTCATGTACTTCAAGGGTAGAGCTTTTGAACATTGATGGCCGGGGTGACAGGTTGAATAGAAAGAAGCATTGAAGCCAAGAGGAAGAGAGTGTCCTGGAGGGAGAATGGGGGTGAAGAGGAAACAAGGGCTACAACGTATTGGTAACTGTTAAACTCGGGGAAGTGCATATTTGGGGTTCATTCTGTTATGATTTCTACTTTGTAAACATTTCCATAATATGAAAAACTATTTTAAAGGAAGGCGCTGACCCAGGTGCCTCCATATGTGGAGGAGTCATTTTGAAGTTAGGCAATGATAACCAGTAGGCAGACAGTATGCCAGGCTGGCATGGGCCTCAGAGGAGGCAGACTTTTCACACAGAGAACTGCAAACTGCTCAGAGTGTTGGGGAGAGATGATAGCAGCCCTTTCCTCCTGAGCCTGAGCATCTGAGGTATGGAAGAATCAACACCTTAACTGAAGAGGCTAGAATGTTAATGGTGCCAGCAGAGTACAGACTGGCTTCGATTACGGCAAAGAAGTGGACGGAGTTAGTGACGAGATGGAGGATTTAGGGGAGTTCCTATACAGTGAGTTGTCCCTAAGTAACTAAGGAATTGGCTCTGCCTCACAGCATCACAGCTGGGAGGTGCTAGGGTCCTATCTGTTAGGAGTGGTGTCTAATGTTTACTCTGACTTTGTGAATTCGGTATTTTGTTCAGTATTTTATTCAATTATACAAGTTTTCAATTGGAAGGGAAAACATTTTAGGTTATTATGTGCATCACATGTTTGAATCTGAGCATGTTCAGCAGGTGGGATTTGAGGAATGTTTATGATTTCACAAAACATTTCAAAGGAAGAAATGACAGGGTTTGGTGACATTTTTTTAAAGGGGTAGCCTCAAATATCAATGGATCGTCATTTCTTGTTTTGGTCAAGAACAGGAACATAAAATTAATACCATTATTTCCTCTTAAGAGTGAACAAATAGATTAAATGTGACATGTATAATGTATTATGCAGTCAATTGATGAAGCAAGAAGTGTGTTATACCAACTGGTTATTTAGTGATACTTAGTAATAAATAAACTTCATTGTTTGTATAACTTTAAAAATGCTGTTTAAAGAAGCTTTGAAGCAGGAATGAATTACTTATTTATGGTCAAAACCTGTGTTTATATTTTAAGGATCACCAGTGGGAAACAGTCACTGTGCCTGAGGATAAAGTACTGATATACAGCATTGGAGGTATTCATCTTGTTTTCTGTAATTCTCTTCTTGATTCTTATCATACTGAGCAGAAGTTGCATGCTCCCTGGGAAAACAAAATAGCCTAATGAAAGCAAAATCCACATTTCCTTGTGTTCCCATTCACCGTTTGCTAGTTCAGTGTCATCCGTGTCCTGCCCTTGCGTTTCCCCCTCCAGCGTTGTCCCCGCTCACTCCTGTACTTGCTTCCTCGTCTATCGAGCCTAGGACCCATGAGCTGTCACTCTCTCATCAGTGTGTTCAAGGCTCTCCCCCTTCCACCATTTCTGATGAGATTCAAACCTCTAATGGATCCACTCCTACAACTGGAATTATATAACACTGCTGGACAAAACTATGCATCTTGGCAGACTGCTGTCACTACAGATTCAGCTATCAAGACATGCTAGCATTTCAGTGGGCATGTACTGGCATATCATGATAGTTTTACTTGTGTTTTCCTAGTGACCAGTGACATTGAGCACTTTTTCATGTGCTGGGTGGTCACTGATGTGTCTTCCTTTTTGAAGTATCTGGTTAAATATTTTGTCCATTTTTTACTGGACTGACTGCCTTTTTAAAAAGTTTTTGAGTCCTTACCTGCGCTGGACACCAGTTCTTTGACAGATTGTTCTGTGAGTATTTTCTCCCAGTCTGTATCTTGCTTATTCATTTTTTTGATGGTCATTATGAAATGACCCTATTTTTGATATGGTAATATTCTTTGTTCTGTAATTTATGTAATATTAATATACCCTTCCAACTTTTTGTTGGTTAGTTATAACATGGCATGTACTTTATTTTTTAACTCTGTGTGTGTGTGTGTATTAGGTGGGTTTCTTCTAGGCATCATATATTGGGTCTAATTTTTTAAATGAAATTTGACAGTCTCTGCCTTTTAACTGTGGTGTTTAATGTGATCACTGATACGCCTTTAATTCACCATCTAGCTCTTGATTTTTCTACTTGCCATCCCATTTGCCACGTCTTTTGCTCTTTTTCTTTCTTTGTATTGATTTTTCAATGATATCATTGTATCTATTTTCTTAGCTTTATACTGGCTTTTTTTAGTGGTTGATTGAGGGTTTATTTTATACATCTTAATAGTNATGGAGCATGTTCATCACTTGGAAAGCATTTATAGAATTATGGGCCTTAATATTTGCCTCTTAGAATGTCATTGCATTGCAGATTAATCACTTTCCTTTGAAGATTAGGTGGAAACTCCTCAATTGCACAGTTAAATGGACTTTGACATATGAAAATTTCCTCTGCATTTAACATCAATGTCCAAACATACTGCTGGACCTGTAGTTGGAACTTGAAAAAAATATACCCCCTGAAATCCGGTGTGAGAATGGAGATGTCACTTCTTGTTTTAACTTTTGACAGCCCAGGAAGTATAGAAAGCAGCTCGGCATTACTCGTGATTCAGATAACCTTAGTTTCAGTGAAATGACTTTACTGAAGTATAGGTTTCTTGTGTAGCATGATTTGCCCTTATAATTTATTTTAGGGCTGAATTCATTAAGAAACATTATCAACTCTGCAACCCAATCTGTTTACCAAAGTCATGCAGTGGTAACTGATGATGGCTAAGTTCTTGAGAGTGAATGAAATTCACCTTGACACTACTGGTGCAGTAAAACATGACAGATTCAAATATTTCCATGGGGTAACCGCTGACAAATAATACAGCCACACAGAACCGGGCAGCGGGGTTGGGTTTGGTTCATGGGCTGTAGTTTGCCAACCTTTGAGCTAATGGAACTGAATTCTCAATAGTCCACTGAGACTGTCAAACATGCTACAACTCTTCTTTCACTTGGGCCAAGCAATCAATCCAAGTTATTTTATCTCTCTTGCTAGAGGAAAAACTAACATTGGTAATTGAGGCTGGTGAATTATTTATAAATAAAGGAACAGCTGCTATTTGCTGCCTTTAAAGCCAAATCCTTTTAAAAGGTCAATTACCATTTATTTCAATAGTAGTTAATGCTATCTTTTTATTGATTTCTTTGCAATTAGCATAACAATCTAGTCTAAATTCTTATGGTATTTTTAGGGGAGAAAAACCATCCTAAATCACCAGTGATTATGAAGTTATCCAACAGATGGTTTTTTTTTGTTTTTTGTTCTTTGTTTTTTTTTTTTTAAGTATTATACTTTTTTGGGTTTTTTTTTTNGTCTTTTGCTCTTTTTCTTTCTTTGTATTGATTTTTCAATGATATCATTGTATCTATTTTCTTAGCTTTATACTGGCTTTTTTTAGTGGTTGATTGAGGGTTTATTTTATACATCTTTAACTTAATAGTGTATATGTTCAAGTAATATTATACCCCTTTATGTATGTGTGACGCCCTTGAAACAGTGTAGTTCCATTTTTGCTTTCCTGGCCTTTGTGCCATTCGCTTCTGCATATGTCAGAAACCCCATAATATGGTGTAGTGACTTTTTGCTTTATGAAGCCAGTTAGCTTTTAAAGAGATGTGCAAAGTGGATTAAGACGTATTTTACATTTGCCATTCCCAGTGTTCAGCTCTCCTCTGCGTAGGCTCAGGTTTCCATGTGGTATTATTTTCCTCTGCCTGAGTGACTTCTCTTAATATTTCTTGTAGTACTGACGTGCTGGTGAGGAGTCTTTCAGTTTTTACATGTCAAAAAATATTTATTTTTATTTTTGAGAAGTATTTCTGTTACACACAGAATTCTACATTGCCTGTTGTTTTTCTTTCAGTTTGCTTTAAAGGTGTCACTCTGCTGCCTCCAAGCTTGCATTGTTTCCGATGCAGTGTCTGCTGTCATTCTCATCTGTTTCATTTTATTTGAAATCTTTTTTCCCCTAACTGCTTTGAAGAGTGTCTCCTCATCACAAGTTTTAAACTATTTGATTATAGTGCTTTAGTGTAATTTTCTTCATGTTGTTTGTCCTTGGAATTTGTTGAGCATCTTGCTTCTGTGGGTTTATAGTTTTTATCCGATTTAAACTTTTCATCCATTATTCCTCCATTTTCATTCCTGCTCCTTTTTCCCCACAATGAAGATTCTGAGTACACATCCACTAAGCTACTTCAAGTTTTCCCCCAGCTCAGTGGTTCTTCTCTGGGTTCCCCAACCCCTTCCCCAGGCTTTTTTCCCCTTTCTATTCTTCCAGTCGTTTTATATTGTTGTACTTCATGCTCATTAATATTTTTTTTCTGCATTAATATTTTTTTCTTCTAATCTTATCCTGTATGTTTATCTCAGGCACTGTATGTTTCATCTCTGTGAGTTTGATTTGGGTCTTTTTTAAAGATAAACTTTTCATTTTAGAATAGTTTTAGATTACATAAAACTTGCCAAAACAATATAAATGTTTCCTCGCCCAATTTCTCTTTTTATTGGTATGAAAAAAATGCATAACAAAATTTACCATCTTAACCATTTTTAAGTGTATAGTTCAGTAGTGTTAAGCATATTCACATCTTTGTGAAACAGATTTCCAGGACTTTTATCTTGCAAAATTGAAACTATATCCATTAAACAACTCCCCTCACCCCCCTCCACTCAGCCTCTAGTAATCACCATTCCACTTTTTGGCAGTGTGAACTTGACTGTTTTAAGTGGAATCACACAGTTATATGGCTTATTTCACTTAGCGTAATGTCCTCTCCCGAATTTTTGACATCTTAACGTTTTTATGGTACATTTGTCACTGCATCTTAAAACCAAAAGCCTGTTTGGATCCTGTGTCTTCCTCTAGCAAGCTCATTCTGTTTTCATTGTAGCCAGTTTTGCAATAGTTCTTACTAAATCTTTTCCTTCTCCTGCTATTCATGCCTGATCTTATTACATTCTGCTTTACATTCCACTCCACTGGAATTTTTACTGAAATTTTAGATGTCAAGATAATTAACACTTTTACTGTTAGCATCAGTATACACCCTTCAGTCTTCCCACCACATTTGACACTGTTGACCATACTTTCACTTTTTAATCATTTTCCCTAATTTCTCTACTGAGCTGTAGATGCAAATGCAAGTAATAAACCATTCCGTTTGGATATTTTCACAAATACCTCAAGCCCATGTCTGAAACTGAACTCGTTATATTTGGGGGTATATATTGTACCCCCAAAGCTCCTTTATTTCCTGTCTTGACAAATGATGTGATAACCTTCCAGGTTTCCAAGTACAGAAGCCATTCTTGATGTTTCCTCTCCCCTAATAATCATTTTCCATGTTCATTCATTTTTGTCACTTAACATCTTTTGAATTTTTTCTCTCCTCCTTTATGTCCCATCATTTTTCATCTTAATCACTGCCATCACTTCTTACTAATATTTCGTCTTTTGCATCTTGTCAAATGTAGTTGCATAGTCATTGGGCAAGAAGTTATTTTCATGGTGTCCTGTAAAGTTGATTTTTAAGATTTATTTTCCAATATATAACTCATCCTGATTTTATGAGGATACTTTTATAAAAAAATCAAGTTCTTGATGTATGGATTAAAACTGGGGGGCGGGGGCAGCTTTCGGGTTGGCGAATAAGAACGCACCTCCATGCCGGGAGGGTGGCGCACCCACACTACAAACAGACAGGAGCTCTTGTGCTCAGGACCCCACTGTGGACCTCTTCACTGGCTGTTCATTCATATTCTTAATGTCCTTTGTGATAAAGCTGGAATCTAGTTTACCTGTATGGACCAGGCAGGATCTGAATTTTTACACAAATGGCACTCATGGAAGTTAAAAAGGTGTGGACCCAGGAGATCAATCAATAGTTCTAGTGAAAAAGAATTTCTACAAGAAGCTTCTGATTGAGGAGATATGGGAAGCAGCAGTACGACAGAGTGCAGTTAGAGTGTTTTATAAACAATGTATAGGAATTTATAAAATAAAGGCTCCATGAACAATTTTTGGAAAAGTTGTTCTTAATGGCTTTGTATGAGAAAGCATATTATTATAGTCATGTAAGTATAGTATACTGGAATCCCAGAGAAATACCTAGATAACATTATAACATCCAACTACGTTAATATCTATAAATACTTGGATTTATAGCAACAAAATAGGAAGTTTTCCAGTATCTCATTATTGTTGCGCATTAACTAAAAAGCAAGCCATGATACAGTCCAGGCAGTCAAAGCAAATAGAAATTTCAACAAGGCCAGCAATAAAATAAAATATCAATAATTCTGTAGATAGTCATGATCTATATGGAGAATACTTTGTACAAATAAGTACAGGCATTCAGCAAAATAATAAATTTGAAGTGATTGTAATACTATTTCATTAGCGCAAATATTTCATTTACTATAAGTTCACAGCAAGCTGTAGGAAGAAAGTCAAATGCGTATCAGAGGGATATAGCAATCAGCAAGAATATCCATATGGGTTATAAATGTTCCAGTCTTCATCACCAAATCTGAAACATTATCACCTTCAGAGTCACCTCCACTTATCTCTAAAGCCTGTTACTGTTGAAACTCATGACTTTTCCCCCCAAAAAAAACCCACTGGTACTTTTTGAGTTAGAGACTGTCACCACTGTCTTCAAGCAATTCATAATTCTTGGTCCCATCAAAGGACATTACTGTGAAAATTTCATGACCACATAGTTGCAAAAGCAAGTAAGACATAGTCTGCTTCGGCAAGCCTCACAAGAATCAGAATTTTATAGCCTGTAGGGCCATTCATTCTTTAGGGCAGATTACTGAGTGGCCAGCAGTGCTTTTCTTGATGTAGACACAAAGTGTCCTCTCGGGGTGCTCCTTCTCCCTCAAGCTCTTTGCTTCCTGCCCAGGAATGTACCCTGGGGGCAGGTGTGGAGGCCTCTTGGTCCACAGCGAAGCATCACCAGAGGTCAGCCGGTCCATAGTGGCCTTGTGTCCATAATGACAAGCACATGAATTGGGTGCCAGGTAACTTTTTGATAAAGTTTTGTAGGAGGGAGGTGAGTACCTCATATAAACTGACACAGTGTTTTCTTTTCACTTGATTCATAAATTCCCTGAAAATCAGCACTTGATCCTTACCCCCCAGTTTCCTACCACCCGAGTGTTTATCAAATGATTGTGTACTGTCAACACGCTTGTAGCAACTGGATTTAATAGAAATGTCTTAATAGATGCTTACGCATAGAAATATAGTTATTTAGGAATTATTTTGTTTGCCTCTTTTAAATTAAGAAAATAGTTTTCTCACATGTGTTCAAGGATTCTTAAGAACCTGTTAGTGTCCAGAATGTATTCAGGACTTTATTTTATTGTATCACCCTATACGTTATAGATCAGGAAACTGAAACTCTGAAAAATAAATTGATTTAAAAATGTTTTTAAATAAATGGACTTGATTTGTTACATAGGTAATATTAGAATTAATTTAAATAGTTAAGTCCTAAAAGTTAATTCTACCTCATCTGAATTAATATGCTGCACGCTTTTCTTTTAGTATGCCTGTAGAGTATCATCATAGAGATGAAAATAAATTAATCAGTGTTATTTGTTTGTGTGCAGTGATAGAATCAAAGAAGCTACTGACAATAATTCTGAAAAATACAGTAAAAATCAGTAACAGAGAAGGGAGAGAATTGCATTTATATTTTCATGCATCATTAGAAATCACTAAGGTGACACAAAAAATCTTGGGCGCAGATAAATATAAGGTAAGTGTTTAAACTGTGAATAAATATTTATTGTTTTCGTAGTCTACAAACCTATGGGCACTTGGGGCTATAAGTCTCATTGATACTCTTTTTCTAGAATTCTTAAAATGTCTTGTAGATTTTTAACTCTTTAAATTTGTATTGTGGAATCACCATCAGATTGTTAGCTATACCCTTTGAGATACCGATCAGAAGAATCTCAGGTGACAACATTAGCAGCAGCTGCTCAAAACATTTAATGAATTCCTGCCAGGTGTTTAACAAATGAAATGAGACAAAGCCCTGTTTTCAAGACATTAAACATAGTTTGTGAGAATTACAGACTATACCTCAGAAGAATATGTGGCACAGGGAAAAAGAAATGAAGAAGCTGAGAAAGAGAATGCTCATTAAGAGTCAGATTTGAAGGAAAGGCTGTGGAGATGGGGCTTGAAATGGGCTTTGAAGTTGACAGAGGAAGTTTAGATCACATGCTTTGCAGGCCTGTGGAAGACATTATGAGATGGATAGTGTTTCACTGGGAATCGAAGGTGACAGTTCATGCTGTATTTGGGGGAGATACTCTGTTGACAAATTTGGATAGTGCGTGTTAGTCTGCTGTAACAAAAATACAATAAACGAGGTTGCTTAACAACAAATGTTTATATCTCATAGTTCTGGAGGCTGGAAAGTCCATAATCAAGGTACCAGCAGATCTGGTGTCTGGTGGGGCTCACTTTCTGTTCACAGTGGCCACCTTCTCGCTGTGCCCTCACATGGAGGGGGTGAGGGGGTTCTCGGAGGTCTCTGTTAGGGACAGGGCACCAGTCCCATTCGTGTGGGCTCTGTTCTTATGACCTAATAACCTTAAAGGCCCCACCTCCTAACACCAGCACATTGGGGATTGGATTTCAACATGAATTTGGGGTGGGAGTGGGGGGCACATTCAGTCTATAGCAGTGCAAATATTTATGGTGAAGAATAGCAGAGAGTGTGTTTGTGAGGAACACTTACCAAAATGGCAGGCTAGGAAGACTGTGATTAATGGGAGTCAAGTGTCCGGAGAATAGTATTTACATATACAGAATAATAACCGGAGATGATTTGGCCATTATGGAAGGAAACAGGTAGGAAATAATTACGTTAAAATGGAAAGAACTGGGAGACAATGGTATCACTTTGAATTAATTTAATTTTAGGAGTTGAACAAAAAGCAGAGTATTTCAGTTGCCAAGACATCTGTGCATGTACTTTATGATGCAAGTGGATCACAGGTATGTGTCTGACTTCCTTGATTTTAATCATTGGGCTAAGTTTAACCCAAATGATAGCACAGCATAAATTTCATGTTGGAGGGTGAATAGCTAAAAAATAGATAGTACCCAATAAGATGCATATGATTTTTAAACATGTTATTAATGATAATTTAGTATAGCAGGCAGATAGTTATTAATCAATACCAGTTTTGGTAACTTCAAAAATTAGAAGTATCTGTCCTTCCAATAATGCAAAAACTGGTTTTGGGTCTATTATTTGGACAAGTGGATGCTTTTAGTTGGGTCACTTTGTAAGACTAAAAATTATAACAGTACATAGAAACGGAAAGAACTGATATCTGTGTTAAATGAATGTGGGTGCTTTATTAAGACATCAGTGGTTTTTGAGAATGTCCTGTAGTTTGCAGTTTAAATCCTTTTTTTGCACATTCTCCAACAGATTCTAGTGCCAGAAACTCAAACCTCACCAGTTGAAGAAGAACTCGTAAGTTTGAAAGAAAAACTTAACTCCCAAAAGGAATTTGCTAAACCTCCAAAATATATCAAAAACAGAGCTCAAAGGGACAAAAAAAATAGTCAGCTTGAGGTAAATACGGTTTGAAAATAATCATTCATAAAAAACATGTCAAGTCATTGTTCTATATAATTACAGAAAGCAGCATCTAGAAGTTATGCTAATGGCCTTCATCAGTAACATTTCAAAGTATTTTCTCTGCTTTTTGCAAATACAAACAAAAGATAGCGTTTTTAGCAAATTGTGTTTATGTGTAAGGGTTAGGGGTTTAGGACAGCTATACTATATACTTGTAAATTCCAAATTAGCAAAGTAATCACCACTTTTACATGTAACTTTTCTATTTTTGCATTTGGATGTAATGTAGAATACACATTTATAATGTGTATATAAATTTCCATTTGTTTGCATGAGGAAAGAAAGCAAAGTATCAGGTTCTTTTTCCGCTGCCGCCTCCATTGAGGCTTTCCTCTGGGCCATATCCGGTAGAACCTCTGTGACCTTGCTGTGACCCTTGACATTGCTAACAGCCCTCTCTTCCTTAATGCCCTCCTCTTCTTTGACTTCTCTGGCAGCATTTGAATTCTCTTCCTACTTCTGTTACTATATCAGAAATACTTCCTCTCCCCACCTCCTGGGAGTAGACTTGCTTTAAAAGTTGGGTCCCCGGCTTTCTGAACATCTCCGAACACCTTCTCCCTTTGCGAGCTTCCTCACGTGCACCATGGAAGCTCTTAGAATAAATGTACCAGACCCCTCTTCAAAGTTCTACAGCGACGCCTCCACTTCTTCTTCTCATATTGTCTTGTGTGCGTCTAAGCCCTTTCCTGAAGTCTAACCCAAGCTCTTTATTTTTTGCCTCAAATGTTTATCTGCGTCCATGCTTCAGTCATGCTGCCGTTGAATTTTCTGATGAGATCCTTGCTTCCCCTCTGCCCCCCTCACCTAGAACCAAGCGGCCAGTGATTGTTTCTCATAGTATCTCTCACATCCTTTCCTCCTGTTCCCTTTACCGTTACTCGTTTCAGGATGCCTGGAGAAACACAGCAACCTCTTCATTGGTGTCTGACGCCATTGTTTCATCCTGTGAGCTACCCTATATGGCATACCACTGATTTTTCTTAATATTCATGTTTTTTGTAGCATTATATGAACAAGTAACTATTCAGGTCACATTCACTATACCTCTAGGAACTGGCATTTCTTTAAGAAGAATCTACTGGTTCAGTGCTTTTCTGCCTAATTTTAGAATTCCCTTTTCTTCTGTCCTCCCCCACCTTTCATCTGTGTCCCATGTACATACCTACCAAAGCCCCCTCAGTGTTTTTTCCCTCTGTCTTACGGGCAGGTAGGTGCCTTTCTGAAAACAGCTCTCTGCCTCTTTACAGTTTGTCCTTATCTACTTTCCATGGCACCCTCTGAAACTCCTCCCCCTGTAGTCTGGGGGTATAAATGCCGATAAATGCCTGCTCCTCTACTTCTGTTTCTCTTACCAGTCACTCGAAGATGAAGTTAAAAATACAAATCTTTATTGGAACACACGCTAGTGTGTCATGGTCTCTGGCTTCCTGTAGCTACTTTTTACTCCAAAGGCAGTTTAGTCTTCAAAGAATATTAATACAGTTTTTTAAATGTGAGGAAATTTTGGACAATGCTTAGCATTATGAAAGCACTCATAAACAAGTTTACATAAATATGTATCCAAACATCACCATGAAATAGAATAGGGAACTGTGAGCCACTGGTTAACCAGGTAAACTCAGTAGCAATAAAACTTCTGTTAGGAGGTAAAGGTTCTTCATTTCCTATGGCTAGGTATTCTATAAATATTACCTAAAACAATATTCCTTATTTGTTTCAATATCAAACATTAGGATAAAACCCCTGGTTAGTGAAAAGTTAACCTAAAACAAATTTCTGGATATCATGTTGTTTATAAAATGCCATATCTCTTGTGTGTGTAGTCAAGGTAAAATGTTTTGAATAAAATTGTAGGATATTTACTTTCAAAAGATTATGTGTGTTTACTGTGGTTGTTTCTCATGGTTTAAGAAAATTACTCCTAGCAAAAGAAAAATGTCAGAAGCTTCCATGATTGTTCCTGGTGCAGAGAGATATACTGTGAGAAGTCCAGTACTTTTAATCAGCACATGTAAGTTTTGCAGTCTTAAAAAAATTTTAACATGTGTTATCATATTTTAAAGCAGGCATTTTTAACTCAGGGATGTTCTGGACATAATTTACCTAGGCGATAAGGTGGGGATATGAATATTGAAAACTGTGAACTACAAATGTTTAAAAAAGGTTTACTGGGTATTGCCATATAAACATTATTCAAAATATTAGTACCCAGCACTAATAATGTAATGTAAGCGGGAGCAGCATTACATAGTGGATAAAACATTGGATTAATCAGGCACTTGGGCTAGTTTCCCATTCCCAGGTGTGTACTTTGTAGATTATCTTCTAGCTAAATTTAGAACCAGTTTCCTTTCTGTACAGTGGGATTGAAGTGTGTCTACCTCATCAAGCTGTTCAGAGGATTAAGTATCGTTCAAATGACAAGGACTGTTGTGAAACATTTAGACAGTGCCTGGTACATACTAAGAGCTAATAACAATAAGTGATCTGATACTGTGCTAGTTGTGGTAAACAGTCTTATTTAACCTCTGTGACAATTAAATAGTGACCTCCTTCTTTTTCCCAAATCCAGTTGTCTAACAGGCTTCTCAAACTTAACAGGTCCAAAATAAATTCATCTTTCCACCCACCACTCCAACCCCCAGCAATTTCTTCTCCATTCCTTACCTTGGTAAATGGTATCCATATCCACTTTCTCTCTAAACCAGAAACCTGGGACCCATCGTAGAACCTCCCTTTTTTACCATTCTCATCTAAAAAGCACCTCAATAAAGCAATATGTAAGTTTTAAAACCCCACAAATAAACCATCCCTTTGTCCTCCTTTTTAGCGACACCACGAAGAGGAAGAATTAAACCACCACTGCAAATGATAGGATCTGCAGAAAAAGCGGGCGTTTCTGAAACACTGGATAGTGCTGTATCGCTTAAATCCAGACCATCTGAAGGAAGACCTAGAGGCGATGATACAGACAAAGTAACTTTACTTTGAACGCATTTTTAAACATTTTTTATCAAGTTATCGTAGAAATACATATTGAGCTAACTTCTTTTGCAAGCAGTGAGTGTCTCACTTTGTTTAAAGCACTGCTTTTTTTAAGATACAATTTATTGTCCTTGAACATAAGGTCATCCTCACAGACGACTCATTTACAGTGCTGACAATAAAATTTGGGAATATCCATTCAATATAACTCCAATTTAGGCATTCCTTAGCAGAATGGACTCACCATCATTTTTTAGTTTATTATACAAATTAGTGTCTGCTATGGGGAAAGTTCTAGTATAGAAATATAAGATACAAGTGGGCCCTGTCCTTAAATATCTCAAAGGCTAGCATGGGAATTAGGTAAATTAATAAGATAATTACCATATTGTATAATTATTCTCAGATGTGCATCTAGGATGCAGTAGGAACCTGGTGGAGGGGCTGGCGCCTCACCCCAGAGCTGGAGGTGGGGGGAGAGGAGGTGAAGATCAGGAGATGCTCTTTAAGGAGATGGAGAGGGAGTGGGTTTCTGAAGGGTCAATAAAGGTTATCAAGTGGCCAGAGAGGAGAAGGCCATTGACTCCAGGTAGCTGAAGAGGATGGCTAGAGAAGGTGGTTTATTGGAGAAATAGGAGGTAATTGCATACAGAGAAGTCTGTAGAGGAGGAATACCTAATAGCTCATTTTCTCTGACGTCAGACATGGTGAACTTCTCTTTAGGATATGCTGACGTAGGGGGCTCAGGGAAACGTAAAGATTTGGAATAGCCACTGAGAGCTAATGGACAGGGCTACGAATAAATAAGTACGAGTGTTAGACAATATGGAGGGCCCAGTTTAAACCTGGCTAGAATTTCATCGTGGCATTGCTTCAGAAATATGTGTAATAGTCTCGCAAATAAAGCTTAGTAGCCTTGGTGTTGCAGTAAAAAGAATAGGTAATTAAATTTTTTTTTAAATGGTAATATGGCAGAAAGATAAAGGCTGAAAGAGTTGAAGATACTAGGAGAAAAGAGTCAAAGTGATGTTCAGATCGACTAGTGAGGTGTTTCCTAATAGAGGCACTGTTGTTCAGTTTTGTGGCACGTCCTGAGTGCTGTAGGGCGATGAGCATCCTAGGCCTGTGCTTGCTTAGTGTCAGGAGAACCCCCCGTCATGGTGACAACAGAAACCACACCTGCGCAGTTTCATGCTGCTCCTCTCCTAGCGTGAAGAACCACTGGCTAGATGAAGTAGGGAAGAAAGCCAGGATGGGGCCCAACAGCTTAGCTTAGAGGGTGGACTTTTCTTTGATCTGAGTGTGTATCTGTGGCCACGAAAAGAGGGAAGCTTGCTATAGGTAAGAAGTTACCTGTGCAATGGCCAAAACTTGACAAAATCATTTTAGGTTTCATAATTTCCAACTCCTTAATGTAAGTGAAAAGACAGAATAGATGCAGGTTATGAGATCAGCAGGAATAGGGGATGTTCCTTGGAGGTTCTTGACATTGTTAGTCACAGATGAACATTTAATTAGCTGTGGATGAGATCAGAAAATGTCTGCCTCTTTATCTGCAATGAAATTTATTTTCTTGTGTTTTAGGATAAATAATATTCTAGAATGGGCATAACCTTTATGAAATACAGTTGACCCTTGAACAACATGGATTTGAAATGCATGGGTCCACTTATATGTGGATTTTTTCAATAAATACTGTAAATATATTGTAAGATTTTCTTAAAATTTCCTTTAGCTTACTTTATTATAAGAATACAGTATATGATACATATAATGTGCAAAGTGTGTGTTAATCAACTGTTTAGGTTTCAGTAAGGCTTCTGGTCTTACTACTAGTAGTTAAGTTTTGGGGAAAGTCACAAAGTTATACACAAATTTTTGACGGGGGCTGAGGGGGGTCAGTGCCCCTAACACCTAAGTTGTTCTAGAGGCAACTGTAAATAGAAAGGCTACCCAACTTTTAATAGCAAGGCAACTTTAGTTTAACTTTTAATCTTGAATACTCTGACTTTTAAAAGTTGTTTTCACCCAATGCCTTAATTGAAATTTATGTTAACATGTCTCCTGTGTTTATAGCATATCAAAACTGCTAACGCTGTAGAAAAGACAGACAATAAGGACACTGACTTCCCAAACCGAAATTTTAGTAAGTACTTTTTGGTTTAATTTCAGTCTCTTTTAAAAATAAATATACCAGGGGTGCCAAAAACATGTGTACAAGTGGACACTTTGGTCAACGTTGCTCAAGCAGCAGTGCACCGTGATCAGAAGTGTCTGGACACTGATGGGAACCACTTTGAGCACCTCTTGTCATTGCAGACATCACACGGGACTTGTATTCATCTTTCGTTATCGGTATATATTGAGTATTACAATTAATACAGTTTTTTCCTTTTTTAAAATGTGTATACATTTTTTGGCACCTCTGTATATACTTCTTTGTATACTTCCCTTTAGCCCCACTGGACTTCATTGATTTGAAAAAGAAAGATTCATAATAAATGTATTCAGCTTTGTATGCGTGCAAGGAAATGAGAGGTTACAAGGAAATACACTGCAATATATTCCGAGTCCCAAGAAGGTTGGGTCTGACGGGGAAGATGAGATCAGCCTCCCTCCCAATATGATAACCGTGATCAGATTCTGTGCCGATTTCCTGTTTTACCCTGTCAACTGCATGAAACATGAGAATACCGTCATTTCTGTTTTATTTAGATGAACTCCAGAATATTGTTCCTGATTCACAGTCAGTGGGAAAAATAAATAAAGCTGTGTGAGTATGAGAAAACCCATCAACTCATTTAGCGTATATTGTTACTTTTAGATGAATATAACAAATTTAAAGAAAAAGGCCTGTATAGTCTTAGAATGTAGCACTAATCATCTCTCAGGTATGATTGTGATGGCGAAGAGTCTATATGTTTTTTCCATATCAACCAACATAACTCTTTTCAAACTGAGACAGAAAATGAATGAGATTTTTAAAATAATGAAGTATGAACGTAAAGAAATTTAACTTAGTTTAAATACACAGAATATGAAAGACACATGAGATTTATTTAGATAGATATCAAAATAGCAAGAATGGAACTTTTTAGTAATCTAATCTGATCATTTAAAAAATTTTAACTTTCATGACATGGAAATATTTTCATACTTGACTGTTAACAATTTATCAGTAAATGTTGACTATTAAAAAATCAAGGTCTTGAGTCAGTCATAGCTCATGTTCTGTAATATGTTAACAAATGAATTAATTTTCCAGGTTCCCTGGTGATTTAGACAACATCTGTGGAAATAAAAAGCCCTCCAAACGGGCATGCTGGACATCGGTAACAAATATTAACCTATGTGAAAACCACAGAACAAGCACTTCACCGGGAGACGCTTGTCACCAAGGTGAAACACACACTTGACCCTTGAACAACATGGCTTTGAACTGCAAGGGTCCACTTATCCGCAGAGTTTTTTCAGTAAATACTGTGAATGTATTTTCTTCCTTATGATTTTCTCAGTACTCTTTAGCTTTATTGTAAGAATACAGTATATAATACATATGACATACAGAATATGCTAACTATTTATGTTATTGGTAAGGCTTCCAGTCAGCAGTAGACTATTAGTAGTTCAGTTTTGGGAGAGTCAAAAGTTATACGTGGATTTTTTTACTGCACGGGCGCCGGTGCCCTAACCTCTCTACCTTGTTCAAGGATCAACTGTAGTTTTCTCTGTATATAACAGTAGTTCAGGGAAATATTCTTTTCTAGAAATGTCTAACACATATCTTTGGTTTTAACAAATTTTATACATTATCAGTTTATTAATTTAAAAGAATTAATTTCTCATTTCCCACTAGATATTGTTGTCAACAAAAACTTGACTAAACAAAAATCATCCTCTTCAATATCTGATGATAATTCTGAAGAAACAGGAAAGGTGGAATACGAGAAAGAAAGAATGCAGCATAAAGTCAATACAGCAGAAGGAGAAGTTTGCAGAAGAAACAATCAACAACTACATCATCCACATTCAGAGCAGGAAAATACTGAAAATACCAAGCAGAGCAACGGGGGTTTTGAATCGGAAACTACTATTAAACCTGTTCTCCTAAATAAGAGAGTTGAAGAATCGGTGATCTATAGGAAGAAGTATATATTGTCAAAAAATGTAACTACTGCTATTTGTGATGAAAACTCTTCTAGAAGTACAAAGAGTCATACAAAATCAAGAAAGAGATTAAAGTCTGAACTTCATTCCTGGGATTTGAAACCAAAAAAAATGGTGAGCCTTCAATGCGTTTTATTTTTGCACACTTGTAATATGCCTCCCTAATAACAAAAGTGAAAGAAGCTTGATGGATTGCTGCACATTGAACATTTGTGATACCTTGTTCTTTAATTCGCACTTACTTCCGCTCTGAGAGCAAGTGCCTCCTGAGCTCCCTGGTCTGAGCCCTGATGTGCACAGCAGGAGTGTGAGTGGGGGTGGCGTGGCGGAACCCTGCCTCGTCTCCTCTTGTGGGCTCTCTCCCACCTTCTGTGTCCCGTGCATATGGGATTGTCTGTGCCTCTCGAATGGTGCTCACGTTTCTTTTAAACTATTAGTGTAAAGACTGTTTTACTCAACATTTGTTTTCCTGTGTGGCCCAGCACAGCTTTGCAAGTAGTAGCATCTGAAGTATTTCTTGCATTATTCCGTTCAAGTTTTCCAAGAATGGGTGTAAGTGGGCTGGAGGATCCTGCCTCCTGCTGTAACACTTGTCCCCATTGGAGCCACCACTTAGGAAGGAAGAACGAACCGGTAGAACAAACACCTCCGGACACTTTCAGATCCTTGACACCAGCCTTGGAGACTAAAACTTTGGGGCAAGGGGTCACTGCTATCAAGATGTAGATTAAGAAAACTTTTAAATTATAATACAGTTCTGCCCATAATGCCATTCATTTTTCGTATTCCTTAGGGGATCCAGGTTACATAGACTTTCATTTTCATTTCTCTTCCAGAGTATTAATAATACATGGTAGCCAAATTTCTAATTCGAAATTTCTAAAATGTATAATGTTCACGTACTGGAGCATCTCTGTGTGCATATGAAATATTAATAATTTGCAATTATTATATGTAATTAGACATTATTTCATTCACCTTGAGTAGACTCTATTTTGTCTTTAGCCTGCAACTCAGTTTTTGAGCCTACTTTGGCTACTTTTTTCTTTAACCAAATCCTTTTGGGTTACTTTTTTTCTTTTTCCTTTGCGGGGGGGAGGTGTTTGTTTTTTTAGTTCCAGGTGTACAAAGCAACATAATAGTTTGACATTTATACCCCTCAGGAAGTGATAACCTCCCTCCCCCAAGCTAGTACCCTCTGACATCTTATGTAACTGTCACAATACCATTGACTATCTTCCTTATGCTCTACTTCACCTCCCGTGACTCACTCACTCNTCTCTCTCTCTCTCTCTCTCTCTCTCTCTCTCTCTCTGTATGTGTATATATAATATAATAATAATACAATATTATTCAACTTCAGCTTCAGGTGTACAGCGCATTGGTCAGGCATCTACGCAGTCTATGATGACCCCCTGATAAGCACCTTACATAATCTTTACAACATTGCTGATTATATTCCCCATTCTGTAGGGTTCCTTTTTTTTTTCCTGATTGTTAGTATGCTGTTCTTTCTTGTTTCCAGTCTTAGCTGCTATTTAGTCTCTTTAGACCCAGGTGAAGTAAGGTGCTTTTTGTGGTGGTTGTTTTGTTTTGTCTGAATGCTGATTGGTTCTTCAATTTTTAAACTGTTATCTTTGGGATTTAGAATCATTTCTCAGAATGATTTCCCTGAGCTACTCATTCCTTTTTCCCGGGAGCACAGAAACTTGATCATCTCTCCTAAACTGTGCTCTCCTTTAAAAAAATTAACTTCCTGTTTTCAGAAGGTCCCTTCAGTCTGTCATAGTGTCACCCCATGTATTATTATGCAAGACTCCCTGCCATGCAGGGATTCCTCTCCCTAAGGTAATCTGTCAGAACCTGTCTTTCTGTTCATTGGATAAACCCAGAGAAATAGAACCTCTGTAGTTCAAGGATACAGATTGCCCAGATTGGCTCCAATTAGACCAGAAGTTCTTAAGTCAAACACTATTTTCAGGGAGGTTCATTTTGGGTACATTTTTATCAAGCCAACTAAACCTTGTCTTCATATGGGAATCTTAAGAAGTGATAGTAATAACTTACTATCTACTAAATATAAAAACATATTAAGTTAAAAGTGGTTAAAAGAGTACATTTTATGTTTGTTATATTTTATTATAATTTAAAAAACCCATATGCCTGATTCCCAGAAAAAAGTGAAAATCAGTTAAACTTACATCTTTAAGAGTATTATTGTTGGAGTGTTTTGTTAACCAAATTATCTAAAATTATGCAGATAATAATTCTTACATTGTCCTTCCATTTAAAAAATATTAATACAATTTGCTTATAAAAATGTCAGGTAATCAGGCAGCGGTTCTCAACCTTCCTAACGCTGCAACCCCTTAATACAGTTCCTCATGTTGTGGTGACCCCCAACCATAACATTATTTCGTTGCTACTCTATAATTGTAATTTTGCTGCTGTTATGAATCGCAATGTAAATATCTTTTTGTTTTCCGATGGTCTTAGGTGACCCCTGTGAAAGGGTCGTTCAGCCCCCAAAGGGGTCGTGACCCACAGGTTGAGAACCGCTGTATTTAGGTGTAGAGAGCTCCCAGATGCCCCTTTACCAGCACCCCAGCTACCCTATCATCAACATTTTACATTAATGTGGTCCATTTGTTATAAATGATGAGCCAGCATTGATGTACTATTATTAACTAAAGTCCATAGTTTACATTAGTGTTCACTCTGTTTATTCTGTGTGTTTTCACAGATGTATAGCAACATGTACCATTACAGTATCATACATAATAGTGTCACTATCCTAAAATTCCCTTGTTTTCCATCCTTCCCTCCCTTCCTTAACCTTCCTTCCCCCCAAACTCCTGGCAACCATTGATCTTTTTACCATCCCTATAGTTTTGCCTTTTCCAGAATGCTATATAATGGGAATCATACAGTATGTAGTCTTTTCATATTGACTTTTTTCCCTTAGCAATACACATTGAAGTTTCCTCCATGTCTTTCCATGGCTTGATAGCTCACTTGTTTTTACTGCTGAATAATATCCAATTGTATGTATGGACCAAGGTTTGTTTATCCATTCATGTATTGAAGGACATCTTGGTTGCTTCCATGTTTTGACAATTAGGAATAAAGCTTCTATAACCATTCGTGTGCAGGTTTTGTGAGGGCATAAGCTTTCAACCCTTTTGGGAAAAATACCAAGAACCATGATTGCTGGATAACATGGTAAGAGTATGTTTCGTTTTGTAAGAAACTGCCTGTCTTCCAAAAGTGGAAAAAGTGACTGTACCATTTTGCATTCCAGGAGCAATGAATGAGAGTTACTGTTGACTTACCCCTTACCAGTATTGGGTGTTGTGTTTAGGATTTTAGCCATTCTTATAGGTGCTTAGGCATCTCATTATTTTAATTTGCAATGCTCTAGTGACTTATGATGTTGAGCATCTTTTCATAGTTTTATTTTACCATCTGTATATCTTCTCTGGTGAGTTGTCTATTCAGATTTTTCGCCCATTTTTAAATTGGGTTCTTTGTTTTCTTATTGTTGAGTATTAACAGTTCTTTGTATAATTTAGATAGAAGCGCTTCATTAGATATGTATTTTACAGTTATTTTCTTCCAGTCTGTGGCTTGCCTTTTCATTTTCTAAAACAGTGCCTTTTGCAGAAGTCTTTAATGAAGTCTTATCAATTTTTTTCTCTCATGGATTGTGTTTTTGGTGTTGTACATAAAAAGGCATTGCCAAACCCAAGGTCACCTAGATTTTCTCCTATGTTATCTTCTACGAGTTTTAATAGTTTACATTATACATTTGCGTCTGTGATCCATTTTGAGTTAATTTTTGTGAAGGGTGTGAGATCTGTGTCTAGAGTCATATTTTTACTATGTGGATATCCTGTTGTTTCAACACCATTTATCGAAAAGACTATTCTTTCTCCATTGAATTGCCTCTGCTCATTCTTTCTCCATTGAATTGAGTTGATCATATTTACGTAGACCTGTTTCTGGGCTCACTGTTTTGTGCCATTGTTCTATTTGTTTACTCTATCACCAGTACTACATTATATTGATTACTGTAAGTCTTAAAGTAGGATAGTATCAGTTCTCCAACATCGTTTTTCTGGGTCTCTTGCTTCTTGGTGTAAACTTGAGCATCATTTTGTTGATACCCAAAAAGCAACTTTCTGGGATTTTGATTGGGATTGCATTGAATCTGTAAATCAAATTGGAAATCACTGACATCTTGACAATATTGAGCTTCCTACCCATACACATCGGCTCTTTCTCCATTCATTGAGATGGTTTTGATTTTTTTATCAGTCATGTAGTTTTCCTCATATGGATCGTGTATATGTTTTGTTATATTCATATATCTAGTTACTTCATTTTGGGGGGTGCTAGTGTAAATAGAATGTAATTTCAAATTCCAGTTGTTCGTTACTGGTTCATAAGAGGACAGTTGACTTTTATTATTGACCTTGTATCCTTTAACCATACTATAATTGCTTTTTTGGTTCCAGGAATATTTTTGTTGATTCTTAGAGCTTTTCTACATAGACAATGATGTCATCTCCAAACAAAGACAGTTTTAGTTCTTCCTTCCCAATCTGTATACCATTTATTTCCTTTTCTTGTTTTATTGCATTAGCGGGACTTCCAGTATGATGTTGAATAAGAGTGGTGAAAGCAGACATCCTTTTATTGTTTCTGATCTTAGTGGGAAATTATTGGGTCGTCAGAAAAGTCATGATGCATGTTGCAACAGATGGCATTAGTTAATTTTGGGAAGTACTAGAGTCTTTTGCATCTATGTTATTGCTATGTCATTTGACAGCTGACAGTTCATTCTAAAAAAAATTGAGCGATTTGGTGGAGTTTTGGAAATTTTACAACAAGTTGAAGATGAAAGACAAAACTGCACATTTTTGCCATATTTTACTGTTTTACTTCCATAAAGGGAAGAACGCACGTCAAATTTGTGAAAAGTTGCATAAAGTTTACGGTGACAATGCTCTACAAGAATGTCAGTGCCAATAATGGTTCACAAAATTTCATGCTGGTGATTTTGATCTCAACAATGCTTCTCTGTCAGGGAGGCCCACCGAAGTTGATGACGACAAAATAAAGGCATTGATCGAGTCAAACCCATGTTACACGACACGAGAGATTGCAGAAACATTGAACACCCATCATTCAAGTGTTCATGACCACCTGAAGAAGCTGGGATATGTAAGCAAGCTCGATGTCTGGGTTCTGCATGAACTCAAAGAAGTTCATTTGATGGTGCGTATAAACATCTGCATTATGCTCATTAAACGTGAGGAAAAAGATTCTTTTTTGAAGCGAATGATAACTGGTGATGAGAAGTGGATTGTTTTCAACAGTGTGGTGCACAAACGGTCTTAGTCCCGACGTGATGATTCACCTCAAATGACATCGAAAGCAGACATTCATCAGAGGAGGTTATGCGCTCAGTATGGTGGGATTTTAAAGGTGTCGTGTTTTTCGATCTCCTACCAAGGAACCAAACAATCAGTTCGAATGTGTACTGTCTGCAGTCAGACAGTTTGAACAAATCCATCATCCAGAAACGTCCAAAGCTTGTTAATTGTAAAGGAGTTGTGTTTCATTGTAACAACGCGAGACCACACACAAGTTTGATCACCTGTCAAAAATGATTGGAGTTTGGATGGGATGTGTTGCCACATCCACCATATTGGCCTGACCTTGAACCGTCAGACTTCCACTTGTTTCGCTCTCTTCAAAAATCCTTGCGTGGTATAACGTTCAGTTCAGATGAGGCTGTAAATCAGCACCTTGTTCAGTTTTTTGAAAATAAAGACAGGTCCTTCTATGAACGAGGAATTATGAAGCTCACTGAAAGATGGCAAAAGGTTATTGAACAAAACGGGCAATATATCATTGATTGATCTTTGTTCTTTATACAAATAAATGACCTTTGAAAAACATAGACAAAATACGTCATGACTTTTCTGACAAGTATGATGTTTGCTGTAAATTTTTTTTTTTTTTAGATCTTTGTCTATTCCTAGTTTTCTGAGGGCTACATGATAACTCTCCAATCCAATATCTGAGGGTATTGGATTTTGTCACATGCTTTTTATGCATCTATTGATATATTTTTCTTCTTTAGCTTATTAATATGATGCATTACATTAGTTTATTTTTAAATGTTGAATCAGCCTCACTTACCTGGAACAAATTCCACTTGGTTGTGGTACATAGTTCTTTTTATATATTATTGGATTCTATTTGCTAGTATTTTATTAAGGATTTTGCGTCTATATTCATGAGAGATATTGGTCTCTAGTTTTCCTTTCTTGTAATGTCTTTGATTTTGGTATTAGGATGATATTGGCTTCTTAGAATGGTTTAGGAAGTATTCTCTAGGCTTCTGTCTTCTGGAAGTTTGTGGAAAATTGGTATAATTCTTTCTTAAATGTTTGATAGAACTCACCAGTAAACCCATCTGGGCCCGGTACTTTCTGTTTTGGAAGGTATTAACTATTGATTCAATTTCTTTAATAGATATAGGCCTATTTAGATGATCCCTTTGTGAGTGTTGGTAGAATTTCAAGGAATTGGTCCATTTAATTTAGGTTATCCAATTTGTGAGCATAGTCATTTATTAATATTCCTTTATTATGCTTTTAATATCCATGTGATCAGTAGTGATAGCCTCTCTTTCATTTTTGAATTATTTTTTTCTTTCTTTTTTTTCTTAGTTAAACCTGGCTAGAAGCTTATCAGTTTTATTGATCTTTTCAAAGTTTTTAGTTTCCTTCAGTTTTTTATTTGATTATTTTTTGTTTTTCCATAGATACTTTAAAAAGTAAATATCTACAGAGCACGCTACACAGTCCTATGTGTTAAAAGACTTATCCTGACTTATTTTAATGCCTAACAAAGCCCAAATTTATTAAATAATTTCTGACCCCATTTATTTCTCTTTTTGGTTATACTTAGAACCAGATTTTTCTTAAATTTTCTTTTCAGCTTTCATTTACCATGGAAGGTTAACTAGTAGAGTTTTAAGTAACTTATAAATTGTTTCAGAAAGAAAAGTCAAAAGGGAATGGATTTACTAATGCAGCAGAATCCTTGATAAACCAAATTAACAAGAGATACAAACCATTGGATGATAGATCCAAGTCTGCAAGAAAATTAAAGAAGTCTTTGATTGACAGGTACAGGTATGTGCTTAAATTCTAGACATGAATATTTTTCTGACAAATACAACTAAATTATATTACAGTGTTTTAAGATTATTTTTAAACATGTTCAAATAATGTAACTTTCAAGTAGAAAGTAACACATAGGTATTATTTACTTGTATAAATAGTAGCTGTTTAAATTATACAGAAAGGGAACTAAATTTGAAATTAGACATCTAGTATTTGATTACATTTCATAAAGTCTCAAAAACACCATATTGATACAGCATACCACTTCAGAAATAAATCTTTAGGATATAGACATTTTAGGATTTTATTTTTTGAGCTTAGTGATAAGTAAAATGAAATATATTTAAATTTAATGAAATATGAAATTTAAGTGAGCTGAAATGAGTTACTTTTATATAGTAAATATGCATTCCTTGTTTATAATATTTCTGAAGGTTAATATTTTTTCTTATTACAAAATGTCTCTATAGACTGCCAGTTGTTTAATTTACATTTAAATTATATAATTCTGGTCTTCTTACATGGCATGAAAAAAATTACTCTGTTGGCAGAACCCTGCATTTGAAATTGCTTGGCATCTCCTGCTGCATGAACGATTCAGTTTAGAAGGAAATATTATTGTTGCTATTTACTCTGAGTAAAGTTGCAAAAGTACCAGACTAGGGCTGTCATATTTCAGTTCTTTATATCATATTAAATGGAGACTTATGACCCAAATATGCTTTACCTTATATAAAATGGCTTTCATGAGAAACATTCTGATATTTAATTGCTTTTTAAATTTTGACAAAACCTTTTTTTTATAGTGGTTTTTCAAACAAATCTGATCTACAGCTCAGTAAGGTAGGTTTCATTTATTTAATTATATCAAATATATAGTCAAACTCTATGATATTTGACTGTAAACACTAACATAGAATAGTGGTAGGATGGAATTAGAATTAATGATTTCAGCATATTGATAAATGGATTAAACAACTGAGAAGTTTAGTGGTAAGCACTCCTAGAAGTCCTCTAATCTGCTTTTCAAATCAAATGCTGCTTTTACATATGACTGTGATATTTTTACTTTTTGGTTCATGATTCAATATATCTTTATCCCCTTGCCCCCTTTTTAAAATATTTTTTTAGCTGATCCCATCTCTCCTGACAATAAGACCCTTCTTAAGTTCCTATTTTTGTTAAAAACATTTACTGTTCATCCAGGCTTAAAGTATCAATTCTCTTGTGATGTATTCCTCACAATTATTTTCTGTCTCCACTTAGTTGCAAGTTTTGAGGTTTACTTCTGTGAATTCCTCCTGAATCTTCCCTCTCCTGCCTATGCCAATGCCTGTTTTCCTAGTTGGAGTTCTAAATTTTAATCCCTGGATTATGAAAATAGCCTTTCTGTAAATCTTTTTGCCGCTCGTATTTCTCTGTGCCAATCCAGTCATTACATTCAATACCGGCTGTTTTCTTTCTAAAGCACACAGTTCAATCCTGTCATTCTCTTGTTCAAAACCTTTCTTTGGTCCCCGTTGCTTCCTGTATTAAGTGGAGACTGGGTCTGGCTCCCTAGTCCCTTGAAAAGTCGGTCTTGTTTCCCAATCCTAGTTCCCTGGGCATGCCTTGTTCAGCAGAAACATAATAACTTGAGATCCCCAAGTGTGTGTTCTTTTTCTTCCGCCTTTGGAAAGAACGTCCAGCTGACTCAGCAGGCTCTCACCTTCTCTTATTGTCAAAGCTGTATTCTTCCTTGCAAGACTTACTTCAGTCTACCTACTTTTTGAAAACTTTCCAAATGGGCAAGAATTCTGAATCTCCACAAGAATTTCTTTGTACTTCAAAAAAATATTTTATTCACTATTGCAGTTCTTTTTTCTCACTTCTGTCTTTTACTAGAGTGTGACTCTTTAGAACCACCTTTGAGTCCTGAACACTTTTGCTCACTTTTGTATCCTCTTTAATATCTTCGCTCATTTTTATCTTTTGTAATACCTAGTACACACTGGCATGCAAATGATGAACAAATGTATCTGGACACTGGTAAAAATTACAGTGGAAAGATAAGTCAGTGATCAGGCGAGTAATATAGTGAGGGATCATTTTTTTTTTGGGAATAATTCTATATAAAGTAGCCAAAAGAAATAATAAAGATGAATCACAACTAAAATGAATAGTTTTAATATTTCCAACTTACCAGATATTAAGTTAGGCTTCTGATTGTTTCTGATTAGTAATCATTTAGTGATAGTAATTATTTGTGTACGTTAAATTACTTTATTAAAACAATTATTGAATTTATTAAAATTAACTTCTCTCCCCTCACTACTTTTTTTTTTTTTTTTTTTTTAGCTGAGCCATCCTGCCAACAGGTCTGTTGGCAGCTCAGCGGCTGCTCAGCTTGGGCCGGGACTTGAACCGCTGTTGCTCAGAGCTCAAACTCTTGAGCGAGCTCTTAACCAACTGAGCCACTCGGCCGGCCCTTTTTTTCTTTTTTCCCTCACTACTTTTTGATCAGGTTGAATACATTTTGAGCAGCAGGCTATAGGAATAATCTTACATGTTTTTCCCTAAAAGTCCTAGTTGATTGATACAATTTTGAGTCTTTCATGTGAGATTTTTTTACATAAACCTTAGCCTCTCCCAAAGTGTTTCTATTTAAGAATTTAAAACACATAAGAGTCCGGAAAAAGAAAGCACTTTTTTGTGTGTGTGATTCTAGAATCACTAAAATTCAGCTTGTAGAATACCAGTGAGAAGATCACTTACCTATGTAAAATAATGTTAGCATATTTAGAGATATAAGAATCTTATATTTTGTACTTGATTTTTAATATTTTCTATTATGTTTTTAGTTAATAATTAAGGAACTGTTACAAATATAAATTTATATTTGTGGAAACACAATTAGAAAATATATGAAAATTTAATTGCGTATGTTACTTGTTTGCCAAGTATAGTAATGTACAAATTTGAGTGGTTTTATGTAAACTTCTTTTGTGTTTAGGAAAAGGCTCGGAAAAAAAGTTATAGACAACTGAAGACTACTTTTGTTAATGTAACTTCTCAATTCCAATTGTAAGTAATTTTTCATGAATCTTAGAATTTTCTTCATATTTGAAGAAAATATATTTATTGTATAATGGAGTTAATATTTCTCTTCATTTTTACAGGGATGATGTCTACAATTTTAATTTGAATGGTGCTGATGAACCTATTATAAAGCTTGGAGTAAGCTAGAAATCAGTAGTTATTTTGTAATTAGTTATGCAGTATCTATTTTGTATTTACCATGCAGTTATTAGAGTGTATTTTTTTAATTTCCATCCTCTTATAGCTATGCTTTAAAATATTTTAAATCATATTCTATTTTTATTAAATTTATTGGGGTAACATTTGTTAATAATATATAAACTTGAGGTGTACTTTTGAATACAACATCTGTAGCCATTGTGTGCTTACCACCCAAAGTACAGTCTCCTCCCATATATTTTTAAATATTTTAAAATTCATTTGGTACCAACCTAGGTATATTTAGTTTCCTTTCAAATCCTTTGGACTGAAGTAGAGAAAAATGAGTAATTGGGGCATGGAGGGACTCAGACTACTCCATCAAGAAAAGTACTTTCCTTATTGATGCAGCAATTTAAGTTTTGTAAAAAATTGTTTAAATATTTTTACAATTACTCTATTTTACTTTTAGTATATTTTACAGTACTAGCTTGCTTCTTACATATAAAAGCATTTTAGTAAACTTAATTGTATTGTGACATGACTATATAAAGTGATAAAAACTAGGTTTTATGTTATCTCTTTGACACTAAGAAAATTTTTAATGCTTATTCACAATATAGACCCAGGACTTTGAAGCAACAGCTAGAGAAGCCTGCATGGATAATTCAAAATCGTAGGTATTTTTATTATAATTAAAGTGATTGGATTAAAATACACTTATTTAAATCATTCCTTTTCTTAAATATCTCCTCCCAGTTTGACTAAGAGTTTTTAACATGTGAAGAGTGAATAAAAGTGCTACTGTCATGATTATTCCCATTATGATTTTATTATTTCAGCATTTATAGTTGACCCTTCAACATGGGAGTTAGGGGCACTGACCCCCTGTGCTGTTGAAAATCCATGGATAACTTTTGACTCTCCCAAAACTTAATTACTAATAGTCTCCTGTTTACCTGGAAGCCTTACGGATAACAAACAGTTGATTAACACATACCTTGTATGTTATATGTATTATATACTGTATTCTTACAGTAAAGTAATCTAAAGAAAAAATCATAAGGGAAAATACATTTACAGTATTTATTGAAAATAATCTTTGTATAAGTGGACCTGCGCAGTTCAAACCCATATTGTTCAGGGGCCAACTGTACTTCTAAAATCAACACGCAGATTCTGTGCCTTTTTAACATTAGTTGTGTATCTTAGATGATAAGGCAGAAAGGACCTAGAAGTACTTTCATCTAACCTTGTTATTTTGTAATTAACCGAATTTAGGGCATACGTCACTTGGCGAGAATTATATGGTGAATTATTAGTAAAAGAGTAAGGCTGAAAACCCAGGCCTGCTTAATGCATGCTACCTTAAAAAAATAGGACTTAAAATTAATTAAAATTAAGGCATATTTTTGTTTAAGGGTAGGTTTAAGGAGTCATAATGAACTTGAACCTTCACGCAAAACAGAAGATAAAAAAGTAAGTTGTGATATCCTGATGTGTCTATTAAAACCAGTATTTCTTTTAATAATTTTCCAATGCCAAAGATTATCATAGAACTAGAAAACAAAAATGATTGGATCTTTTTATTTTCCTCAGAGATTATCCATGTTCTCATGACTTTTCTTAATGGTCTTTGAGCTATTTGTAATCATCTAGTAAAAGATGTGACAACTTTAGTTATTTTCTTTGATGGTATAAGATTATGTCTCTATAGAAGTAAACTGTTTTGATTTAACTTTTAATTAACAACAACACTGACAACAAAATTCAAATCTTGATCTCTGATCTGTATTTCCAAGTGACTTTCTTGGATAGGTCCTTAATGCCAGGTAGATTAGGGGGCTAAAAAAAAAAAAAAAAAGTTTGTTTTTCTGGTTTTTTTGGGTGGATTTGTTTTGTTTTGTTTTGTTTTGTTTTATGGCTTAACTTACTTTGCATGACATATAAGACACATTTCTTCATCTATTGCAAGGACTTTTTTTTTTAAATAGATCCTAACAGATCATAAAAAGAAAAAACCTCTTAGTGATACTGACATAGAATACAGTTATGACGACAGCAAGACTGATGTTAGCTGGCTAAGAGAACCAAAATCAAAACCACCGCTAGTAGACTATAGCAGAAATAAAACTGTGAAGAAACAGAAGCGTGGGAAATCAAGTAAGAAATCACTTTATAGAGAAATGTTGCAAACGATTTTATTTCACTTATATAAAATGCTTTGTTGGTTGGTAAGTATATTTTTGTATGTCGATAGTATTTTTAATTACCCTTATGAATAGAAAAAAATGAGTAAAAGCAAATACACAAAAGCACCACAGAGGTTTTGGTAATATGGTTATATTTAAATTGCTTTTTAAAATAGTATCTTAGGGACATAAAATATGACTTACAATCTTTGGCTCATGATATGCCCACATCGTTTGTCTATTCATGACCTACTATTAGTCATTAGGTACTTACTGTGAATAATGTACTAAGTACTCATGAACCCAACACCCTAGGCAAAATCAGAGCTTGGACAATATCCCGTCCCCTGCCATACCCAACACGCACACTTCTTAGGAATTCATGTTGAGGCAATAAAAGTAGATTGAAAACAATTTTTTTGCAGAAATATTTTTGCCTAAATCTTTCACAAAACGTTTCTCTAGCATATGGCTTCTGCTCTCTCTAGCAAATTTCTTGAAGTAGTTGGGTAAGAGTTTGAGGTATGGATTTTTGGCTAGACATAATGACCATTTTCATTGCTTACCTTTCAGTTTCAATGTTTACTAAAACTCAAAGATTTTATACATTCCATTTTAAAAAGAAGACAACATAGTTCTGAGCTGTTAAATTTATATTTAAGGGAGCCAGCTTTTATTTTATTTCAGGATAAAAATAAGAAGAAGTGACCTGTAAGTGTAGGGGAAGGGAGGTGATGGCTTAAAAAAAGTAAAAATAGAGATATAGAAATGAACTTTGGCATGTGGCTAGAAAGGAGGCTGGGTCTTGGAAACGGATGAGAGGCCAGTCATATACATGAGGATTATCACATAAAAAAAGAGACAGAAGTATGACATAGCATTGTGTGCTCGGGAATGCGGTATTGCAATAATTAGAACTTGGATCAAGCTCATGGGAAGGTGTTGAGAGATGCAGCTGGATGTAGTCACAGTGAGTGGACTCTGAGGCAGTGTGTCATAAGCCAAGGAGAAACATAACATTCGCGTGCCCTCGGGAGCTTACAGTCTAGTGGGAAGGTGTACAAATGAAGACATTTCTAACACAGAAGATTAGAGATCTTGGGCAGATATGAAAGGTTAGAATACTATTATGACATATAAATACTTTTAAAGTTGAACTTCTGAGTGAATTGTTTTGTTTAAATGGCTGAACACCATCCAGTCAATATGTCTTAGCTGTTTTATTGCCAGGGTTGGAGGACCTTTCTTCCTCAATTTCATTGCTTCCTTTGCTTTGATAAACCCATTTCTTAGGCTTCAGAGAATATTTTGGAAGCTGAAATTGTGCTTGAAGGGCAAAAGGAATAGGGACTAAGCTACTCTCAATGTGCTTGAAAGGCAAAAGGAATAGGGACTAAGCTACTCTCAATCTGGATAAATCTTAGAAAACACAATGATGGGTGAAAAATAAGGCAAATCATAGAATATTGCATACGACCCAATATTATTTTATAAAGTTCGTTATACTGCTTATGGATACATATCTGTGAATTAAAACTTTTTTTTAAAATCAAGCGAATGACCTTTTGGCAGAGGGGTGTAAGAGTACACATAGTAGGTTCAACATTCTTCACAGTGTGGTTCTTAAACTGAATGGTACACTCATAGATGTTAACTTCATAAGTTATGTTATATATTCTCTTGTTTGTTTGAAAATTTTTCTAATATAAAGGAGGAGAAGGGGAATTGGTCATTCATATCTTACCAAACACTATACAGTAAAAGTTAATGTCAGTTTAGCCTCAAATCATCCTGAAATTTAAGTTTTGAATGAGTTTAAAAATGTATTATTTTTTTTATGATATTAACTTACATACAGAAATATTCTAATAAACTTTAATACAGAAATATTCTAATAAACTTTAATGCCAATTCTTACCTATTTGAAATTTTTAACCTTATTTTCTTGAATTGCAGGACCATCTTTGGAAAGGGGACAACCAACATCTAAAATGGTAAAACCAGGAAGTTTGTGTTCAAACATCCTTTTAAAATTAATTTTATCCTTGTTTTCAGTTACTTGTTTTCCATAATTGTTCTGGTCTTTGCACACTTAAGCCTACCTTGTGCCTTTTTGAAATTGTTAGCCTGTTTTAAGTCTATTTTATTCTGTGGAGATAAGTATTTTTGATACCTATCTCTTTCTTCCTGTCTCTCTTTATCTCTGACTTAAGTTAGTTAGTATATATATCAGGCCTCTCAGAGCTTTAAGAATGGAATAAAAAGTGATAGAGAAGATATTTGGAATGGAAATATAAAATCCAGTCTTTTTAAGTTAAGTTATATAATTGGAAGTTTGTGCTTTTTAATCCCCGTCCTCTTTTCTGCTCTACTCTTTACCCCGCCCCTCTGGCAAACATCAGTTTGTTCTCTGTATTTATGAGTTTCTCTTTTGTTTTATTTGTTCATTGTGTTTTTGAGATTCCACATATAATTGAAATAAGATGGTATTTTCTTTGTCCAACTCATTTCACTTTCTAGGTCCAACCATGTTGTCCCAAATGTAAAGGTTTCATTCTTTTCTATGGCTAATTAATATTCCATTGTTTTCCAGTCCTTTTTAAAATTCTCTCCAGTCATTTTTAAAATATTAATCAAACTTTTTATTTCTACAAATATTTTATGTAGGTCTTATCACAGTTCCAATTTTATAGTGTTGGGTCCAGATAATCACAGTTCCAATTTTATAGTGTTGGGTCCAGATAATCAATAAAGAGGCTGGATGTCAAAGTTTAAAGTTCCGAAGATTTTATTAAGCTGAGCTCAGCGACCGCCCCTCCGACTAAGGAGAAAACGGTCCCAAGGTCTCAGGGGGTAGGGTTTTTATAAGGTGCGGGTTAAACGTAAATTACAGAAGCCAAAAAGAATGTGTAGTTATTTTAGTTAAAACTGCATCCTGCTGTTGCAACAGTATCCCGCTGTTGCAACAGTGTTATGTCCAGGTGTCTTAACAGTACATCATGACCGGGTTGATAAAGTTAGTTCCTTCAAGGCCTCCTGAAATGTTAACATGAAGGCGGGGGAGGGGGAGGAAGGGGGAACTGCAAGGCCTGAGGAATGTTGGTCTTTAACCTTTTATTCCCCAGCAGAAGCAAAGCAGGTGCACAGAAGCAAAAAGAGCTGTTAGTTCCTGTGAAATGGTCTAAGCCAGTTGTGACAAAACTACTTCTGCAAAACATTCTTAATATTTCTGTTGCAACCCATTTCTTGTAAAGCTAGGTATTTTATTGTCTTAACGGGAAGTTCTGCTTAGAGTCTACCTGGAGTAGCTGAAGTATGATTTTTAAAAGTGAGTCTGTCCGGCCTAGGGTCTGGGCCGAGATCCTTACAATAGCAAATAGCTTGTATGACTGATATCTCAAATATTGATCTAATAACATTCAGGAATTTTTCTTCTAAAGACACCCAGTAAAAACATCACCAAAAAGGTAGATGAGACAGTTCCAGGTGGAAGAACCAGACTTCCACGAAGAGCGGCAGACACCAAAAAAAATTATAAAGATCTTTCAAATTCAGAATCAGAAAGTGAAAAAGATGCTTCACATTCATTGGAAGAGAGATTGCTAGTAAAGGTAAATAGAAACAATTCAGATTTATAAAAGCCTCTTAAAATGCTAAGTATAGGATATATTTTTGTAAAACTGTCATATTTATCTTGCCACTTCTTTTTAAGATTTAACCTGTATGAGAAGATATATGAAAATTTAAGAATTGGTCCTTAGGCAATATAATGTTAAAATTTATAAGAAATATAAAACAGATGTTTGAATCTAGTAAAATTATAACTTTAAGGTAATATCTTTGAATTAGAAGTCCTTGACCTTTCCAAAATTATGCTTCAGGAAAAGTACAGCCTGTTGGGAAACTGGGGCTCTTTCTCTTGATTGAAAGCCAGAATACTGGGTCTGGGGTTCTTCCCGTACATGGCTCCATCTCTGCCCATCCCTCACCTCTTCCTTAAGCTCATCACACTACAGACATACCCCTATGCTCCTGAGCTTGAAAACTTTTTAACAAAGTTAGAAATAGCAGCTGGCATGTTCTAAACACTATATATATTTTTAAGTACATACAGACAGTCCTTGACTTATGGCAGCTCAACTCAGAATTTCTTGACTTCACAATGGCACGAAACTGATACACATTCAGTAGAAACTGTACTTGGAAGTTTGGATTTTGATCTTTTCCCAGGCTGGCAGTATGCAGTAGGGCGCTCTCTCATGACGCTGGCCAGTGGGCTGGCTGTTTGGTGGGGTAGATGTAGTTCATGCATTTTAGACTTCACCGTATTTCAACTTACAATGGGTTGATCAGGACATAACCCCACTGTAAACTGAGAAGCATCTATGCTTCATAGATTCAACTTTTTAAAGTCTCATAAGTATCATGGTGACTAGTACTGTTGACACCTCATTTTACAAAAGAGAAAATTGAGGCTCAGAGAGATGAAGGAACTTGCCTGAGATCCCACAACTAGCAAGTGGTAAAACAAAGGTTTGAACCGCAAAAGTCTGGCACTAAAGGTGGTTCGCTGACCATTATTACACTGTTCTGATTTTAAATCATTAAACCTCCATCTCCCCTTGTTTGTAACCTTGTTCTCTTAGCTGGAAGATTTGAAGGACTTCATAACTTACCTCCACACTGTCTGTCAGTCCTTACTTAATTTACTGTACATATATAATCAGATAAGCCTTCCCAGGCCCCCCTCGCACCTTATCCCTCTTCAAAGAAAACCCCTGACTATCAACATACAGCCAGCCACTGAAGCCTCAGAATACCTTTCCAGGCTGACTTCCCCTCTCACCCAGTTATCCCTAGACCTGTAACAGTTGGAATAACCAACCTGTGACTCTCAAACAAGGCCCGTGCTTCTCTGCAGTGTCAGTAGCTCTCTGTGCCCTCAAAACACCAGCTTCTTTCAGACTCCTGGGCCAGGAGACCCAGGACTGTCTCTGGTTTCCCTAAACTGAATATCTCCTTCGAACCCTTAGAGTATTTTATTCGTGTCTCTTATGGTAATTATTATGGGTATGTATGATATTTTCCTGTGAATTTGTCATGTCTTCTAAAATAATACTCATGCCATGGCCCCTGCCATGCCTGGATGTAGTCATTTAAGACATTTAATAAATATTTCAGTGTAATTTAATTAAATTGTTTTATGTATCCAAGTATAAATTACTTGTCTTCTAGTATAATCAAAGTTATCAATACATTTAGGAGGAGAATATCTGTTCCAGAAGCAAAACCACAAAGCTGTCAAAGAAAGAGCAGGATGCTGTCTCCACCGAGACACGAAGGGCTGTATCAGAAGAATGGAACAACGCAGCTCTATTGAAAGACACCACAAGAGACAATAATCGTGGCTTACCTCCGATGCCTGTATCTGGGGGTCCATCACCTCCGGCGCCTGTATCTGGGGGTCCATCACCTCCGGCGCCTGTATCTGGGGGTCCATCACCTCCGGCGCCTGTATCTGGGGGTCCATCACCTCCGATGCCTGCATCTGGGGTTCCATCACCTCCGACGCCTGTATCTGGGAGCCCACCATCTATGGAAGTGATGAGAGGTCAGTATCTTTTCTTTCTTTAGTTTGAATATTTAATTTTCCATTATAACTCTAATTGTATGAAAATATAATTTGAAGACTAAATTTAAGGGGTGTATTTAAGATCATAGGTAGTCAAAGTTTTATCTTTAAACTAGTCAGTGCTTGAACTTGGTCTTGGCTGAGACAATTTTGGAAAAATGTTACTGTGACACTAGAGTTTCATGTTTGTACTTTTTATATCTTTCAGTTCCTATTAAGGATACTTTAAAGCATTTCTAAGTGTTCATAATTTCAGTTAAAATTCAAGACAAATCAGTTAACATATACTACCTCTAAAGTAGCTATTTTGTTCTTTTCTAGAATATTTTCATAATGCCTGGGACTGTTGTCATGTCAGATAAGCACATACTCAGAGGACAGATGCACATGATTTGATTTGAACACTGAGAATTTATATTATACTAAGACTTATTTCAGCCATGAATTTCCTCATCTGTATATGAAGGATTTAGACCAAATGATTTCCCAAGCCATTCCAACTCGAAATCCTGTGACTTTAATATATGACAGTACTGGCTATGATATCAGAACAGGTTGATCATTATAGTGCAGCTCATACTAGAGATACTTTCATTTGAAAATGTTTTGAAAGTTCTTATGGTTATAGTTGCATTTTAAATTGAACCATTAATATTTTTCAAAGTCTTATAAAATTATATTTTAAACATAATTTAATCTTGATTTATTGAAAGTTTATCCTTTTTAAATATACCTAAGATCTGAGGATTTGATAGTATGATTTATTTAAATTCTAAGAATAAAATCATTTATTTCCAAAGCAGACATCAGTGATAACACCTGCCGTCTCTTTTTTGTTTGTGCTTTGTGAGGCAATATAGGCATGGAGGAAATGACAGAAAGTGATATTACTCAGGATTATGAGTGTACAACCAAATCCACATCACTGTATCTACAAACTGCATCCCCTAAATCCTTAAACAGCAAATATGGAGGTGGAGGTTCAATAAAGTCACCCAAACAGAGTGAGAAAAATGTGCTCTGTGCAAGAGAAAGCTGCTCACCAGTTCTACAGTCATCGTTTTTGGTAAGACTTTATATATAAAGTCTTTTTCCCTGAATCAGATTTATTTGAAGTGGGCTAACCGTGTACCTCTAATCTGAATCAAATATACATTGTCTGCTTAGCTTAGGGTTTTGTCTTGGGCAGAGGAGGCACCTACTGCCAAGTGAAATAGCCTCAGGGAGCCTGCTGGACTGATGCGCAGCTGCTGTACAGGAGGAAGAGCGTGGGGTGAGCGGTGCCGAGGACTGGCAGGGTCCTGGCACAGGCGTGCTCGCTTGCAAAGAGGCACTGCCTGCTGTCCGTCCACACAGCAGAGCGCCGTGCGTTCCGTTCTAGATTTCTAGATTTAGATGGGCTTATTCCTGCCACTCAGGAACCTTTCAGATCTCACCGTAACTCAGTCTGTAACCTTTACTTACTATTTACATCACAAGCTGACAAAGCAAACTGACAAGAATGTGAGTGAAAACTGTGTGACTGTAGCATTTGCTTTAGTTTTGTAAGGAACTTTATAACTAGTTGATAAATGCTACAGATATTAACAAACTAATGATATATTGAAAAATTATCTTTCATGTGTTGTTATATGTACCATTTCTTAATAAAATATGTAGATATGCTCAAGTCTGTAAAAAAGACATTAGAGATAGGAATTATGGGTCAAAGTGGGGGAGCTGGCTAAAACTGTAACGCCTGTGAGGACTAGTTTGGTATTTTGAGTTTGTTTTTCTTTAAGTTGTGGATACTTTGGTACCAGTTTACAGCCTCCACACCCCTCCCCCTTTCTGGCTTTGGTTGTACAAATGGCTTAATTTAGAGAATTTTGAAGTAGTAATAAAGTTACAGAACTGATTGCCAAGAAATGCAGTTTAGTATAACTGGGTATAATTGAAAGAGTTTTGAGTCAGAAGCGTGTTTAAATCCTGGCTCCACTATTTGCTGGCTATGAGTATTTTACAAGTTAATGACTCCCTGTGCACCTCAGTTTTCTCATCTGTAAAATGGGGCTGTGAAAAATTAAATAGGCTGATTAAGTAAGCATCATAACTGATACATAGTAAATACTCAAATATATTATTCTCTTGGTATGTACTAACCTCTGTATACAAAGATGCAATTAACGACAGTTCAGAACACCTATAGCCAAAATCTAAAACCTCTGATAAAACCAATTTTTGCCCTATTACTTCAAACTGTTTTTATTCCTAGCAGGTTTAGGTCCTTTTATTCTGTTGAACCAGTAGTCATCAGACTAATTTTTAATCAAAAATCTTACATGAAACCTCCAATGTACCAAACAGATAAAAATGGAAGTAGGCTGTTTAAATCAGATAGGTGCTCTAAACCCTATCCCCTACCCCCTATAACCTTCAAGGCACCTTGGCAGGACTCTCAATTTCTACAGACCACAATTTGAAGAAAAGTTTCCCACTAGACTATCATCCCGTGGTCCTTTGTCGGTATTGCTCTGTCATCCTTAGTTTCCCTGAATCTTTTATCCCTTCAGTATCCCATCCTTCAAATCTCAAAACCCAGGTAACCACCAGCCACTTTCTTTGATGCTATTCTGCATTAGATGGAATTTTAATTGTTACATATTTATTGGCAGGACATTCATATGAGACATTTGTTTCCCGTTTACTGTGTACTCTTAATTAGGGATTGGAGATTTGCTATATAAACTAGTTGTACCAGTTTCCCGTCACCAGCAGTGCTCTGTGACAGTGCCCATTTCTCTACTTTCTTCATTAATTGGGTGTTATCAGATGCTTCTGCTTTTGCCAACCTGATGAGTATAAAGTGTCTCACTTTAATTTGCGATTTCCTGATTAACAGCATCGGGCAATTTTCCTTTTTTTTGGCCATTTTGTGAATTGCTTATTTTTTCAAAATTTTTAATTACATTGTTTGACTTTTCTTATAAGTTTGTAGGAGTTCTTAATATATTCTGGTTAGTAATTCTTTTTCCAGTATGTATCTTGTTTTTTCACTTAAATGACAACGTCCATATGACAAAAAAGTGTGATGTAATGAAATTTACCCATCTTTTATGTTTTTTCAAGAAATCCTTCCTTCAGCTATTGTACTAAAAATATTTTCCTTGTAAAAATGTTCGTTTTGATTTTAACTTGATGTTTTCATTCTTTCAGTCTTTCTCTTTGTATATGGGTAGTGAATTAGTGCACCAAGTACGAACACCTCTCCTTTCTCCAGCATTTGTCTGCTGATTTGGTCACAGCCTTGGCTAACACACGTGTCAGTGCTTGCGCACTCTTCTATGTTCCTGGCCAGCCTAGCTCTGTGCTAACACCACACCGCTTTAATCAGTGTAGTTTTACACTTGCAGGGTGGTGCCCCGCCCCACCCCCACCCTGTCTCCTTCTGCTTCTATATTCTCTTGGCCCTTTACTGTCCATATAAATTTGTTTCTGTAAGTGGACAATTACCATTTCCCAATACTGATATTGAACTTTCTCCTTTCCATATTTCACTTTTCTCTACTTTTTGATATTATTTCCAACAAAGTTGTGCCAAATCTTCCATAAAGAAAATTACACTTCTTGTTAGATTAATTGCTAAATACTTTATGGGTTTCCTTTTTGCTGTACTAAAAAAAATTTTTTTTTAATTTGTTGTTTTCTGGGTTTAATTTTTTGCTTTTGTATAGAAACACTGTTGCTTTTTTTTTTATATCTCCAACAACCTCGGCCCATTCTATCATAATTGCCTGCCTAGAATCTTTTGGATTTTGAATATAGACAACCATAAACTTTTACACATGAAACTGTTAGTATTTTCCATTCCAGTCCTTATACTTTCTGGTCTTTATATTTTCAAGGTGACTCTGACCTCTGGAGCAATGTTAGATAGACACCGTGCTGGCAGGCACGCTTCTCCATAGTTTGGGATAAATACTGGTTATCAGGATAATGGTCTGGTTGCCTAAGTGCTTTTATTTTTCCTTTTAATTATGAGCAAGTGTTGAATTTAGCAGCAGATGAATTATTCCCTCAGAATTTAAGCTGTTTGGGTTTCTCTGTGTCTTGTTTATTAATAGTTCAGGCATACTCAAATTAATAATACCATTGTGAATAGAAAGAAAATGTAAATTCTGTGGTACTTAACACAAAAAACACAAAATTGCAACAGCTATTCAAATCTAAGCAGTTATAGCTCTGATAAATAGTTATGGAAATTGCAAATACCAATGAGAATTATATAGAAAGGGAGTTATATGTGGTTTATAGCCATCAAAATTTCCTTAAACTAAGATGGTCTGGTAAGAATAAATTACTGGCCTTTAATATCATAATTTAATATTTTTCCACTGTTATTACCTGAAAACCTGTTGTTTATATAGGATGGTTTGATTATAGAAAAAGGTTGAAATTTTAAAAATCAGAAGTAATAAGGTCTTAAATAGGATATAGTTGCTGAGCCACTGGCTTATAGATTTCTAACTAGGATTTACTCGTTTCAGGAATTTAGTTGAGCTTTTTGCCCCTATAAAAGTCCATCGATCCAGCAACAAAAATAAGTTGATAATGTCTAACACCCAGAAAGTTAAGACAGAATTTTACAGCTTGGAAAGGGCTGGGATCGACCTAGAACTAAGGGGAAGGGAGGGCACGCACAGACTAAGTGGAGAAAGAACAGCAGTCTAAGTGAAGGGAGGGAGCCAACGTGGACGTGCGTTTTCATGAAATGGGAAAAAAAACCACTTTGGAAGACAGAAACCTGTGCACTGAAACAGTAAAACAAAAGGTTAGAGGAAAAAGATGTCTTAAAGATACAGCTTGAAAGAAGAGTTTACGCTTATTTTCTATGGCTCCCCATTTTCTGACTCAAATCAAAATCCTAGTAAGGAAGCATTGAAAAGCAGGAGTAGTCATAAAAGCCAGCTCAAAACTATTACTACAATTTAAGATTGAGGTTAACCTAAGAATTTAGGTTAATGCATGGTAGTGTCAGAGATGAAAAGGTAGAGATAGAAACAAAACAATCTGAAAAAGAATTGACAGCATTAGCAATTTATGGCTTTCGGGTTTGAGAAAGATGGCCAAAGGTGAATCTGAGAGTACTTATGGTATTTTTTTCTCATTTCTGATGTATGTTTTAGGAACGTCATTCAGCATCCCCATTATCCACGTCTAGTGAAAGAGAAGAGAAAATGTGGTATGACGTGCCCCAAGACACTGCTCATGGATCAGGTTTGTCATCATAGCTTTGCTTAAAAAAACAAACAAACAAAACAAGTTAATTACTGAAATACTACTGTGAAATTTCACCTAAAGGGATTATATATTTTAAATCATACCAGTATTCAATTTATATACTGTCAAAATGAAAATAAGAAACTACATAGAATGTAATGCACAGTTGCCTAAAACGATGTAAATAATTGAAACAAATGCTTTTTTCCTAAAAGCAAGAAAATATTAGGTATTTTAAATCAGGATTGTAGCACTATTATTTTTTCATTGTTCCTAAGGCCCTACACCTCATGTTAGTCGCAAACGAATGTACATAGAAGATAATGGAATAAATTCCTACCAAGTAGGATTGGAAGAGGAAGAATTAAGAGCAAACTTGCTTGCCAATAAACTATCTAAAATGGAAGCTGCAGCTCATCCCACTGACAAAGGTAGGTGGGTCACGTGTGTGTGTGGAAATGCAATTATTGGGGAGGGAGTTTCTGAGATCGTGAGTGACTTCATCCACAAAGCAAGTCCCTTTGTAAAGACATCTTTGGTTAAGTCCAAGGGGGATGATGCTCTATCATAGACTGCACTTGATGTGTATCATGAGTAAAGGTCTTGGCTACTCAGAAACCTCCCTCATCATCCTGTCATTGATCACCTCATATAAGTTTTACTAGAGTAAGAACTTATTAACTTGGGTTAATAACTCGTTTTCACTACTTCCGTGTTGAAAAGTAATCCAAAAATGTTCCATTTTAATGTTACCATTACTGCCTTAATCCCCATACCATTACTGCCTTAATCCCCATGCCAAAAGGATTTTTACAAATCAAATATTTTTAAATTTAAAAATTAATGAGGTCTGCCTTTGATTTCATAATCATTACACACAGAATCTGAAAATATGATAGATTTGGTTTCCAGCCTCATGACAAGTAAGGCTAAATTTGTAAGAATGCATATTTTATTATATTTTTATTGGGGATTATTGGAGAGCTGTGTTTTTCTAGGACCCATCAGCTCCAAGTCTAGTAGTTGTCTTCAATCTAGTTGTGGAGGGTGCAGCTCAGTGGCCCATGTGGGGATCGAACTGGCAACCTTGGTGGTATGAGCCTGAGCTCTAACCAACTGAGCTAACCAGCCGCCCCAAGAATGCATATTTTAACTTTGGCTGATTATCTTCATTTTTTTAGGATCTGAAAGTATATCTTCACTATCAACAAGTGCTTTTTCTATTTCTGGGGAGAACTGGAAATCTGAGATTTCAGGCGTACACCTGTGTGAACAATCCAGTACAGAATTGGGAAGGAAATCAGATGTGAGTTATTCTTTAATTTTTTACTTATCCCCACTACTGTGACAGTGTGCCATCCTTTCTACCAAACCACCAGCTTGTTTAATCCTTTGACAGCAACTTCGTCATGTACTTGTGGAAAATTGGACCGATTCCGAGGTGAAAGCCTTATCTCATGAGCGAGCTTTTCCTCTAAAATCTGTCTATTATCCCTATTGTTTCTTTCTCTACGAGTTCTTTCTTTGTCCCATTTTCCTTTTTAATTGGTTTAACATTTCGACTTTTCTATGCTTTTTCTTTTTTGACCTTTCATGCCTCCTTTATCATATTTTGGATCTCACAGAGGTGACGCTAGTGAGGCACCAGGGGAGAAGAGGAGCCACCCAGTCAGAGAAACAAACCCCGCTTCACTTGCTCCCACCAGCTCTGTGCGTAGTGCTCCTTCTTCACTGAGGCCTGTGTGGACGTGTCTGCAAAACTACTTTCTAAAACAGTTTTTCATTACTGCTGTTTGCTCCACCCATCTCTTTTTCTTGCATGCCTATATTTACAATAGTTCTTTTTTGCCCCCCTGTTAATAAAAGATACTTGTCTGCACAGGTTTTCAACCCCATCTCTTCCCTGCCTTTTTCTTCTATTCAGGGGTAAAATCTGAAATCATTTAAGATTCTATATGTTTATTTTGTTTTGATTTACCCAAGGTTGACCCAGTCTAAACCAAGAAACCCTGACTCATATATTCTGTTATGTATCTGTGGCTAGATATGAATAGATGTTTTGTGAAAAATGATAGTAAATAATTCTGAGTATGACTTTTAGGCTGTGTTCCTGAAGACAATGATAAACTATTGTAGAGTGTGGTGTCCTTATGAAAATATTCCCACTTCACCCCTGAGTCAAAGCCTTCCTGATGGGACTAGACCCTGCTCTGCCTGAGCTCACCTATTAATACTTCGCTGAGTTTTTCACTTTTCTAAGTTACATTTCATGGAAAAGGCTTTGTTCTTAACATGGTCTTGGTTAGATTATTATTTTGTAAACAATGAGTATTTTTCAGGTCCGCCAAAAATTGTTGGATTATTTTACAAAGCAGTCTTGGAAAACAGCTCAATACCATCTGCAAACAATGAGTCATAAGATTCAGGAATTCAGGTGCGTAACAAACACCTGAGTGCTGTGTGTTCTGAGTGCTGTAGCTTCTAAATAATCTTACTTTATTTCTTTAATAGGATCAAAAAACATGATAAATTCCAAGTCTGCATTATACAGGAGCTGGAGAATTTTGAAAAAGATTCACAGTCTTTAAAAGATTTGGAGAAGGAATTTGTGGTTTGTGCATTTAAAAATTAATTTTAAAACCTCATTTTTAAAGAGCTATACTCAGGAAAACCTCTGTTGACCTGCTTTTGGTGTTTCATATTAACACCCATAAGTGACAGACTTCAGTTTATGATGAATACCTTTGAGAATAAGGGAGAAATCGTGAGAGATTTTACTTGCGGTATTTATCTGAAAGAGCGTATGACATCTAGAACAGTCTTAGCATATAGCCAAGTCATTTATTTAAATTAGAAATATAGTAAATTCTTCTGTCAAGTTTGAATTTTTAATATTAAACTATTTTTTGTATTCTAAACTATTTTTTGTATTCTAAAATTTAGGACTTTGGGGAAAAGCTATTTCAGAAGTTCAGTGCCTATCAAAAAAGTGAACTGGAGAGGTTGGTGTGACGTCCTTCATGACTGGAACCTATAAAATTCGATTTTACATTAATAGAATTATATTGTTTAAAAATATTTAATTGTATGTAGTATATTATATCAATTTAATCTGAATTCCTGACAAAGGTAACTTTTCATTATTTTATTTGTTAGACTTCACCTTTTGAAAGCTTCATTGGATAAAAACGTCTTCTACAGCCCTGATCATGAAGAAACTATTTATACATCTGAGGTATCAATTTCATATTGTTATATCATTTTTCAGTAGTGGTTAGTCTAACTTGTCTTCTGCTGTGAACATTTTATAGTAAATTTCATGGGCAAAATATATTTACTTTACAGATGTCTTTCATGAAAGAAAACATGAAAAAGCTGCAAGCCAGGCTTCTTAAGGAAATGGTAAATGTTTAGCTTGGGTAATCTACAGTGCTTTTGTAAGGGGAAGTTCTTTCACAGGTTTTTCTTCTTTCTTTTTGGATAGAGGAGGCAGTTTTAGTTGTTTAAATTAGAAGAATGGGAGCATCTTTATAGTAAAATTGGGATGATTTAAATAATCAGTCTCTCCTAAAGAAAAAAAATATCAACTGCACATTTAAAAATGAGCTAGAAGGATATGAGCTCTGTGCTCTGCCACCGAGACTGTCCTGCCGGGTTCCTAGGAGAAGGGGCGTCAGGGCAGATCTACCGGAATGAAGACGTCACGTACAGAGACAGAGACAGGAAAGGAGTGGCCTTGGCAAAGGTCCCGTAGCCAGCAGCGGCACTGAGGGGAAAGTGCGCCGTGTGGGGTCTGAGGGCCCTGCTCGTGAGAACGTGTCTTTGGTGTTTTCTCCAAGAGGGGCGGCATTCTTACGTCCACTTTGGGGCAGTCTTTTCCTAGAACCTCAGGGCCGGAACAGCTGAAGAGCAGGATGCTGGGCTGAGCCAGCTCAGCTTGAAGCAAACACGCTAACCCGATTGATCTCTGCGCAAATTGTTCTCGAGACTAGAGTTTACTTCTCCTTTTAAATAGTAAATCTAGATTTCACTGATTTGGGATTTTAAAGGTCTTCTCTCAGTGGATCATCTAGACGAGGGGTCGGCAAACTTTTGAGACAGAAGAGCCACCAGAGGTCAGCAAACTGCGCTCGTGAGCCACATGTGGCTCTGAAGTAAAATTGAAAATGAAACTATGATAAAGAGTATTATTCACATAATGATTTCATTTGTTTTATGGCTCTCAAATATTTAAATTGTTGTTAGGGACAGGATTGGCTCTTCTGTCTCAAAAGTTTGCCAACCCCTGGGCTAGGTGATCAGCAGTGATCACAGAATCCTGTAGCTACCAAGGAATGGGCCCTGTGGAGTTAGATGGCGTGAGCGCTGATACGGAATGTCTTTATGGAAGGGCTGCGGAAATGACTCCTCACTAGCTCGCATTTTTTCTTGGCCACAGCAAGAAGAGGAGCTTCTCAGTGTACGCAAAGGACTGCTGTCAATCTTCATGGCTCACGAGCCATGTTAGTGTGCGAGAGCTCATTGCTACCAAGTTTTAGCCAGTTGCTCTGTCTATAACAGAAAATACTAGAGTAGCCCTACAAAGAGAAAGACACACATCACCCAGCAAGAATACCTTGACCTCTGAACTCAAGTGTATGTCTATGGATGAGAAAAAACCATTGTAACATGACTCTAAGCCCAAAAAACTTCTCTGCACAATACCACTCTTTTTTAAGAGAGAGTTTTAGGGAACCAGACAGCAAAAGGAATTGGCTTATTCTTGTAGTGATATTTGTAGTAGATATTACTGAGTTAACTAAACTACTTACAAAACTAGTCTAATAAACTAAAATTTGTATCAAATGAATGTAGTTTGGACTAAACTATAAAGTATTATTAGTTCACTAGTTCAGAATATCTATTAGTAATAAAAATTTGACCATGCTTAGAAGAAGTCTGATTTCAAATGTTTACCCGAGTATAAGTCGGTACTTCCAGCACACTGTTGGAGGTATATGTATTCAGCTGTGGCTCCAGTGTATTAGAAGGCGTGACATAGCCTGAAATAGTTACTATATTTTAATTCTAGGTAGAAGTCTTAACCCATAGCAGGCTGTTATTAAACTCCTATTCCTTGTAATACTAATTTGGTAGATTAATTTATAAAAATGAATACAAATGTAGTTTGCTTTAAGTGTATATTAAAGTTGAAATAAGTGCTGTCTTTTGCATAAATATTATAATAAAACTATTTTGTGAATCATTTTCCCGTTTTACAAACACTGGTTTTACAAACACTGGTCCAACAAAACTTCCCCCTCCAATCAGGTATCCAAAGCATAACAGTACCCAGCAGCTCACACACCTCACATGCCTGCTTAATGGGGGTGGGGGGGCTTGAATCCTACCAGGATTTAAATTCCGTGGTCACAGTGGCTTCTTACTCAGCTTTGTTCATAAACATAAGTAAGATTTAGTGACAGGGTGGCGGGAATGCTATGTCAAGGGACAGTGACAACTTTAACATTGAGGCTTCTCAGGAGTTGCAAGTCCATGTTGCCCTATGACGCTGTTAGAGCCCTATCGCGACATGTGTGGCCCGATGGACAAGACTCTTACATCACCCACTGTTCTTATCCCATTCTCCCCATTCCACAGCCTGAACATCACTGGGGCAGAAGCGTAACCAGCTTCACATGTCGGACCTCATATTTCAAAGGGCTCTCGGCAACCCTTACTCCATCTGTTTAATTGACTTTACCACATTTTCAGATGATAATTGTATGTTGATACCTCTTAATTCTTTGCCTCATCTCTTCCCCCAAAGTCTAACTTATTATCTGCATTGATACCAGCTTTTTCTGATTTCCCACACATTCCATTGGCAGATTTGCCTCTTTATTTCAGGACAGCCCCCTACTATGGTGTGGATCCTACTGTCTTCCACTTTTCTATCCTGGTGTATAGCCCACACTTATTAAAAACAAACAAAGCAAAAGCTTTTGACACCCAGGCCCACTCACTGCTGCCCTCGCCACGTCATTCTCTACTCACCTACTGAACAAACTGAATTTTCTCCAGTTACCATCTCAGCTTCCACGCTTCCTGTTTGCTCCTCACCTTCCCTCAGTCCAGCTGTGTCCCTGCTCTTTCATTTAACTGCTTTAATCAAACTCACCAGTGATTTATCTCACGAGACCTAATTCTGTGTTCTTCCTTGGTCTCGGTGCCGTTTCCCCCTCGGCTGGCATGCATGTCCCCTCTGTCTTGCCTCTACCCCTTCGTCTGGAGCTCATTCCTAGTGTGTCACTTTCTCCTAGGGAATTTCATCTGGTCCCATATAATCGCCATCTTTACGGTGATGACTTCCAAAGGTAGAAAAGCTCTGACCTTTACTTTGCCCGTCACAGGGCCATAAACACTGCTTTATGACAGTTCTAACAAGCATCTCAATTCTCAAAACAACTCCTGATTTCTCTCCCTCCACATTCTTTTTCATCAACAAAGGGAAAAGCAAAACAAAAAAACAAACCTTGTCCTTCCATCTCAGTAAATGTCTCTTTTATTCACCCAGTTGCTCACGCCAAAACCTAGAATTCCTGATTTCTCTTTTTCCTGTGGCCAGTTAGTTGATCAACACGTCCTACAGATTTTACTGTGACAGTACTGTTCCACGTGTCTGCTTTCCACCACTTCCACTGCACCACCTTTGACAGTGTCAACATCGTGTCTCACGTCGACAACTGCAACCACCTCCAGCATTCGTACTTGCCTTTCCACAACCCTTTATTCACTTAGCAGCCAACCTAGTCTTGCTAAATCACAAATCATACCATGCCACTCCCTTACCTAAAACTCCCCAGTGATAACACTCTTAAATAACCAATGAATCAAAGAAGAAGTCAGAAGGTAAGTTAGAAAATACTTTGGGACAAATGAAAATGCAACAACTGAATCTTACATGATGCAGTGAAAGCCATGCTCAGAGGGAAACTCATAGCTGGAAATTTATATGCATTAAAAACGAAGAAAGCTCTCAAATCGATAACCCAACTTTATACTTTAGAGAACTACGAAACGATCAAATTATACCCTAAGCTGTCAGAAGGAAGGAAACGATAAAGATTACAGTGTAGATAAAACAAAAAAAATAGAAAAACAACAAAATGAAACCAAAAGTTGGTTTTTGAAATGGTCAAGGAAATTGATAAACAGACTAAGATAAACAGAAGATTAAACCCCTTATGAATTTACATGTAAAAATCCTCAAAATCCTAGCAACTGAATCCAGCAGCATGTTAAAAGGAATAAATTAAACAAGGCGGTGCAAGATTTGCAGAGCAGGACCTCAAATAACATCATTTCATTAAACATTGTTTCATTATAACAATGAGATACCTTAGGAACTTAACTCTTGTATACCCATTAGCCTGTGTTAAAACTGGTTTCGTTATACCACAATTCGCTTAAAATCACAGAATCTCATTGATGACATTAAGTGAGGGTTTACTGTACACTGAAATCTACAAACATTGTTGGAATAAATTTAAGAAGACGTAAGTGGAAAGACATCCCATAGTCATCAATTGGAAGACTTAATATTGTTAAAACAGCAGTACTCCCTGAAGCAAGCTGTAGATTTAATGCAATCAAGCCCAATCCAAACTCCCAATGACCTTTTTGTGAAATGAAAAAGCCATTTCTGAAAGTCAGAGAGAAATGGAAGAGACCCAACATAGCAAAACGATCTTGAAAAAATGAAGTTGGAGGACTTACACTTCCCAATTTAATACTGCAAAGCTAAATTAATCAAAACAGTGTGGTGCCTGTATAAGGACAGACATATTGACCAATGGAGTAGAATTGAGAGACCAGAGCTAAACCTGTTCATCTGTGGTCAATTGAGTTGCATCAGAGGTGCCAAAACTTATTTGATGAGGAAAGAACAGTCTCATCAACAAATGGTTTGGGGACAACTGGACAGCCATGTGCAAAATAATAAGGTTGGAACCTTACCTTCCACCATATATAAAAATTAGCTCTAAATGGATCAAAAATTTAGGAAAAAACATAAAAGTAAATCTTCATGACCTTGGATTTGGCATCAGATTCATAAACATAACATCAAAAGTAACAGTGACGGGGGAAAAAAAGGTAAATTGAATTTCACCAAAACTGTAAAAAACTTTTGTACATCACTGTATGACTCAGCAAAGAGTTTATAATGAGGGTTAAAATTTGAAGCATTCGGTGTTAAACATTTTTTAAGCTTATTTATAAACAATTTAGCTGTTTGAGTAATTCACTTTTAGCATTTCCTATTATATATTTAAACTTTAAAAAAATAATTTCAGAGCAAGAGTAGGCAAACTGTCTTAAGAGCCATACAGTAAGTATTTAAGGCTTTTGGGTCAAAAGATAAATTTGAGGATATCATGTAGGTACTTGTAAAAACATGGCAAATGTAACCATTCAGAAACATAAGAATCATTAATGCTTGCAGGCCATTAAAAACAAAAAAGGGGGCCCCGATTTGGTCTATGGGCTGCAGTTTGCAACACCCTGAGTTTAGAAGAAAAATTTTAAAGATGAGATCTCTCTTCTTATAAAATTTATTCCTCAATTTATCTTCCTATTTAACAGAAATAGTGATTTAAATCAATTTTGTATTAGCAGAGGCTAAAGATTGTTAATCATCTACTATAGCTAACACTTCTTGATTTTTCTATTTCAAACATATTAAGCATAAATGCTCACTGTAGCTAATGACTTCTGTTTCTTACCTGGGTCACAGTTGAACACCATGTCGGTAGCGGTTTTCCACATTTCCTTGACCAAGTGGAGCTGTAAGTGCTAACTGTTCCAGACGAACACAAGGGAAGGCCATGGAAGAGAGAAAATTTGCAGTATTAGTACAGCCAGGCAGACACGTAAACACTAAACACTACAGATCCTACAGAGACCTGAATGCCACCAAATCCTGACACCGGAGGCCCAGCAGGTCCCGTGATTGGGAGTAGACGGCCTGTCCTCAAACACTTAACTCCACGACGATGAGTTGGCAGTCTACATGACAAACTCTGCCAGCGCTGATCCCGGGGCCTAGTGTGACGCTCCACAGCCCCGGAGGTGATTCCTCGGCCACTCCTCTCACCACCACTGTCAGCAGCTCACTAGTCACAGGCATTCATGCTCAGGTCTCAGTTCCCTAACCTGTGGAGTTGCATAAGTACGGAAGGAACCATAAATGCTATGAATAAGCAACTAAAGTAGAATTTCGAGCAAAATAACATACCAGGAAATAACCTGGAATGTCAGAATCGGAGCAAGATGCTATGTTTCCTGAGACTGGGCTTTGGGCCACACGAGGAGTCAGCAGCATAACCACAAAGGCCTCTGGGTGGAAAGCAGGGCCTGGACGGTGGTGGACACGTCTTCTAGGGCGCACGCCTGTATCACAGTGACATTTTCAGGATATGTGCCTGAAAAGGGAGAATCAACTGCATTTAGAAACTAATGATGCATAAATCATATATCATAGCTTGTTTTCAACTTCAAAACTTATTAGCATATATGCCATATCCAAATTTCCTACCATTGCTTATTGTCAAGAAAATGTGATTTTTAAAGAATTTCCCTGTTCACATCTAAGGCGGTTTATAGTTGATATTAGAGACTTAAAAAGTTATTTATCACTCTAAACGTAAAATACCGTTTTCTGAGCTATGGGACTGACAGCTGGCACCTTTTCGATTATTCATTCTAGTGCAACATTGTAAATATGAACTAGTCATATGTTCCCAATATCACCATTACCAATAAATTCACAGAAAAATAAACATGTAATTTATATTGATTTACTGTCTAAAATATTTCTGTATGTCCAGCGTGGCTTTCAATATGTTCCGATGCTTCTGAGCACTTTCTGAAATGTTTCATATGAAAAAAATCTCTGGAAAAGAACCGGGTAAATGGGTATTGGAAACATGTGGGATTCACAATTTTAATAGTACACTTCGAATTTTGCAATTCTGGACTTGAAGTTGCTGTTAACGAACTGTGGATATGTATAGCTCAGAACTTTTTCACCTTCCGATACTCATATACTAGGATAAATTTAGGCTTGTAATTACTATACAATTCCACAAGGTGGACCTCTTGATTTCAGGTGTTTTTTTAATCCATTTAAATTGTCCCAAAATCACTCACATAATTTCAGAGTGCCTTTCAATTTTCATAAAGTCATGTCATACACTGTTTCCCCTATCACATTGGCTTAAAACTTAATGAATGCCTCTAGAAGTGCTCTAACAAAATCATCGTCTCTCACAAAATTACCCCTTAAGTTTTCTTAAACTTTTAAACTCCTTAAAAACAATTTCTTTAATGGCTTAATATTCATTGTTACTTTAAGAATTAATCATATTTTATTTCGTGAAAATAGAACAAATGAGTTGTGAAGTCAATGCATAAAAACCTCATTAATGATTACTACTAGTTATGGAGAATTCTGATAATTCAGATACTGTATTTGTTATTGAATAAGGCAGAAATTGCTTTTTTTCCTGTCTTCAGGCTCTGAAGTATAAAAACTTGCTCTTCAAAGTTATACAACATAGGTGAATTTATATAATGCATGGAGATTGCTGTCCCCTGTGATTTGTGAGCTGCTTTTTAATTTTGTCCCTCCGCTAGGGTGAGAGATTCGGAGTCCCTTACCTAGTGCAGGGCTGTGTGTACCTACCAGGTGCAGAGTACATGTGGTTGGGTATCAGCTCTAGTTTATCTCTTACCCACTATAATACTTGGTAAGAACATGAAATACAGAAATACAATTTAGAGTAATGGTTTATGATTAATAAAAATACAATGGTTAGATACTATTGCCAAAAATTTTGATAACAATGAAAACGTCCCCTGGTTCTATGATATCTTAGAGCCCTTGAGACTGGACGAAGCCAAACCCTCCTTTGGGTATCCTGTACTATAACGTGTAATTTTGCTTGTCCATCAGTGACGGGACTTTACATGGACAAAACAACCTAACCACGTGTCCCTTCTACCTGGTCATCTCTAGCCACAGTCACTGTTGTTTTCTGAGCGGCGCTGATCCTCTCTGCTTTGGGGGCCAGGAGGGTTTCCAGGACCCTCTCCTTTCTTCATTTCATAGAAGTACATGGATGTTTCTATGTGAGGAAGATGGGAATCTTAGCTTTACATAATTTGGGCTCCAATTAATATTTTAAATTGAATAAAATATAAAATAGGGAGCTGCTAATATGTAGAATATTAAAATAGAAAAAAATCTTTAGTTTTTTGGAGGTTGATTGGCCACAAAAAATGGCTTGTGAATAAAATAGAGCACATATATTGATCTTATATATTAAATATACAATATACACACGCACATACATGTTTATAAAATTAAGGAGCTGCCTTCCAGTTAGAAAGGGTTTAGATAGTTCATTTCAAGTCCGAAGAAACTGAGGCTGAGAGAAGTCCAGCACTTCACAGTAGGTTACACAGCAAGGCAGAGCGAGAGCTCGAATTTTTCTATCATACGGTGCTTTCGACTCAAGACCCTAATTCAACTAACACCCAGGAGGGAGCCCAGTCGCTCGGGACAGAGTGCTGCCCCGGGATGAGCAGCTGCCTGGGCGCCGCCCGCTGAAGTCTTACAAAGTGGGATGCCACGAGGTGACACGTGTGGCAGAGCTCACGGGCGCACGCGGCCCCGGACGTGCACGTGGCAGGCGCCGCACCGGCGCTTTATCCCGGCCTCATTTAGGAACCAGCAACGCTGGGAGACAAAGTCAGTACCTGCTGCATGGCGCCCACCTGGGGGTCCAGCGCCGGGTCCACGGGCTCCGCCACGGTGGCCCCGCCTCGCCACTGTCCTGGGAGCGAGCTGGGTGGGGGGCGGGAGGGGGCACCGATCTTGTGAGGACACCTCAAATGACCTTCCAAGGACCCACGTATTCTTACTTCACAGATGTCCCCCCTTTGTGCTCAGGTACATTTACCTTTATGCCGAGAGAACTTCTCCTTCTAGTCTCCACTCCATCTGCACCTTTGCCTGTAATAACAGTTCTTAATAATGTTCTTAAATGTGAACCTAAAAATACTCTTAAAATGGCATAATTTTCATCTTGGTAGAATTTTTCAACAAGTTAGTACTTATTTCTAGGTTCATTACTCAATGATACATAAATTTAAATTAACCTGAAAAAGATAATTTGATTTTCCAAGGCACAAGCCATATATACTAACAGAGTTTACAAAACTAAACACAGGAAGCTGCAATGCTTTTTTTTTTTTTGGATTCTTCTGGTTGCTCCAAAACCATAAAACCTGACTCGTTTTCTAAAACCCTATTCTAACAAATCTCTTCTCCCACCCCCAAGAAAATAGAAAGCCCAGGTTCATTTCCTGCAATAAGTAGTCATTTAATTAAAGAACAAAAGTAACAGGAATCAAAATGTTGCGGTTGTATTTCTTGTTAGACATTATATAAAAAAAGGAAAAGTATAGTACAGTAAATCATTCTGTGTAACGTGAACTTAAAGAGTTCGCAAATTAATCATGATCCGAATAAAAGTGTCTTTTCCACATAACACTGAATGACACTGCATCGGCACGTGTCCCTCACGTCCGCGGCCGGCCGTGGAGTGGTGAGCCCGCCCTCGCTCACGCTGCAGAGCTGTCAACAAGCTGGAAGAGCAAGCAGTCTTCTCCCAGCAGGGTGACTATGGGTCCCAACTGACCCAACAGTTCACTCCTCAGACGCCAGACAGTGAAGCGTGTCCTCTGCTTTGTCCTCTTACAGCTAAGTGCGGCCACGGTGTCACCTGTGTGTGTGATCCCGCGCCTCTCACAAACACAGCAGGTCGTCTCGAGCTGAACTTCAGGAAAGTTCCCTGACGAATGTTCAGGGTTGGTATCAAAAATTAAACGCAAATTCTTCTCAGAAGAAAATCTCTAGGGCCTGTGGAATCTAGAAATTATTTTGAAAACAAATCAAGTAAGGTTATACATTTCTAAGTTACAACTGACAAAACCTTCCACAAATAAATCTGTCGCTATTAAAAGCTTCTCAGAAGTCCGACATGTAAAACTGACTCTGGTTACAGTAGTGTGGGGCCTCAGATGGCTCCCAGGGGGCCCAGAAAGGAGTTACAGCCTGAATTCTTAAGATCACCTAAAACTTAGTTCAAAAGCTGTCAGTTAAACCCTTGAAGTACCCCGGAATCAGAAGTGATGGATGGATGAAACAAATTATCGGAAACGAGTAAAGTTATGATTTCTTTTGTAGAGCTGGTAATATGTTCGTAGTAACATTTAATACACTTAAGAAAATCTCATAGGACTAAAAATATTGTTCTTTTAAAAACTGACAGTAGGTGCGAAAATGTGGTGGTATAAAAATCTTAATTATTTCCTGATGCCCAAGCTTGGGGCTAACTCTTAAAATTCTGTCATCTAAGACAGCTATCAAGGACATAGGAGAGAAAATACATCCTTTTAGTAAACATCTCTTTTAATAATGTATAATGAGAAAATAAATATTTTGACATTACCATGCATAGAATATGTAATAATTAGATCCTTTTTTCTTTAACACAGAGTGAACATTAAAAGTAACTGAGCTTTTTACTGGAGAATGTTGATTTCCTAAACATTTTTTGAGTGTTTTCAACAACCAAAAACAAAATGATCCACTCCCTCCCAATGTACGCCAGTCACTGGGAGGAGGAAAACCTTAAAAATGTTAAGACTATTTAGTTGCGTCATTTTCTCCTGCCTTTCCAGCCTCCTCCTCTGCCCTTGATACATTCATCCTAAACTGTCTTGCACGACGCAATTCTATAGGACCTGGCTTCTGTCCCTACACTGAGCTTACAGAGTAGACTAGATCTTTTAAATAACAACTGTTGGGACCACTTTGTGACAGAGAAAAGGAAAGGAATCCATCATTTTAGTTTAAGGCAGGGTTGCCTTTCTCTTTGTATTTGGGGCTTCAACATCTTTAGACCAAGGGAGAAATGACAAAGCCACAGCTGCCCTCGAAGGCGTCACCCCCTTAGGATGAAAGGCATATGAGAGCTTCAGGGAGTATTACTTGTCATGGCTGCGGACAGGAGGAGGACAATGCTGAACGAATACGCAGCCAAGCGAGCAAATGGAAGTAAGTCTTCCCACTCCATCATCGACAAGAAACCCCACGCCGTCTTTGCTTATGATCATGTGGACAGAGAATAGATTCACCTTGGTGTGAAAAGTCTTGATTCTGGAAGAATCGGCCAATATATTCCCACTGGAACATAAACACCATGAAGATGGGAACCTCCCTTAATCTCATCCCAAAGTTGCTTTCTCAGCACCTAGAAGGCTGCCTGGCACACAGTAGGTGCTCAAAATATTTGCTGAGGAATCAAATGCTCTTTGAGCTTTGGGGGAGCACTAGCTTGTGCTTAAGATGTGACTATAAATGTAAATAAGACAGGAAAATGTAACTGGGAGGGTGGAGAGTAATTACACAGCACTCACCTAAACACAAGCACCCTAGGAACTGGGGGGCTTGTGGATATTAGAGAAAGGGAGTTAAATGTACAGGCAAGTCACTGTCACTGCTGTGAGGCTAACTTTCTTAAATGTGCATGAACTACTTAAACACGCCAGTGAGCTGTGCAGTACTGCTCCACGCAATCACCTTTCACCAAGCCCTAGAAGAAACCACGGGAACGAACCCCACTTTTCACCGGGGAGCATTCTGTCTGATAAAGACAGTTCTCTGCAGAAACACGGAGTTTGTTTACCTGGATACATAGTGCTTCGTGGCAATTTTCTTTTTTAAATAAACGCCATGTAATAAGCGTCATGAAATTCATACCAATAGAAATCTGACCTTGTCAAATGCTTGCTTGACGCGTGGACCTCCATCTCATTACTTTTGTATTCATTTAGTTCTTTGCGGATCGCGGCCTGCAATTTAAAACAGCACGTTGTTTCACAGGGCATCCAAAAGTCGCCATCAGAAATGAGTACCCTGGGTATGGATTAACAACCATGCCTAATACCTGCTGACTTCCGTGATATTTTATGATATATTCCAAAAAGGAAACAGAGGACACAACTTTTTGCTCGCCATTTAGACTTGCTCAGCTTCACGGGCTTGCACACAGCTAGTGTTATGGACATGCTTAGAGACTTTATTTGCTGAGCTGGGGGAGGGAGATACTGTCCCCATGATACAAAACAGACGGACCAAGCCCGTGCTTAGGGCGCTTCTAAAGCAGGAACACCACAGTGATGAGTCAAGTTCCGCTTTTGGTAAACGTACGGGAATTCTGCAATCAGGTAATCCAGGAAGCTCACCTACCTTCAGCATGCGTTTATGTTTTGTGTTGTTTGAAAAACAACATGGCCGTTGCATGTGCATGAGAAACGTCACAGTCTCGTCAGGGGTCTGTCGCCTGGCTCTGACCATTCAGTTCAGGCTGCACAGGAGGGTCCCAGAGGTGCCTCGGCTGAAGGCCAGGTCAGACTCCAGAGCCACCTCTGTCCACTGCAGAGGTTTTCCTGAGCGGCACGGCTGTCTCCCGCTCACCTCCGTCCCCCCTGTAGCTCATTTTGTTTAATCCCGTGCCATCTAGTCTCTTTTGGCCAGCCTCTCCTACTTTTGATTCACCCTCAGACTAAGTTTCTCAACGTCCACCTTCCTGACACTTTGGACTGGATAATTCTCTGTTGTGGGGGGCTGCCCTGTGCATTGTGGGGTGTTTAGCAGCAATCCCTGGCTCCACGCAATAGATACCCCCACTCGCGACAACCCAAAATGTCTCCAGACATTGCCAAATGTCCCTAGGGACAAAACTGTCCCCTAGCTGAAATCACGACCCTGACCCTGGGTTATTGTCTTTGTGAAACCGACATGGGATCAAGGCACAGCCTTCATTTCAACAGCTATGGCGCCCACTGTCTAACAGCAGGCTCCCTGGCACGACACGGGTCCCTCGTTTCGGGATCCTACACCCCCGACCAACACAGACAGGCCAGCTTCGTACCTTATCTGCTGCCGACAGTCTCGTCCAGGGCTTGTCTGCCCGTCTGTCGTAGTCCTGTGCTTTCGCCACTTCCACATAATCGCTGAATCGTATCAGGATTTTTCTGTCTCTTAGTTCATCAACTGTGGGTCTCTGATTAAGCTGAAATAAAAAAGCATCACAGTTAGGCGATGAAAGCCAAACGAGCTTTCTTCAAGGACTCTAAACAAACAGCACATTTCTAGAAAGAAATATATTGGGTTGTGGGAAAAGTCATGACGCATTTTTGCAGCGAAAAATATAGAAAAAAATACATCATGACTTTTCCAACAACCCAATAAAACTCTGAAACTGTGAGATACAGCCCTAATGTGTACCAATATCTAGAGCAGCGGTTCTCAACCTGTGGGTCGCGGCCCCTTTGGGGGTCGAACGACCCTTTCACAGGCGTCACCTAAGACCATCGGAAAACAAAAAGATATTTACATTACAATTCATAACAGTAGCAAAATTACAATTATAGAGTAGCAACGAAAATAATTTTATGGTTGGGGTCACCACAACATGAGGAACTGCATTAAAGGGTCACGGCATTAGGAAGGTTGAGAACCGCTGATCTAAAGTGAAGGGCTTGAATTATACACTCTTGTTACAGCCCTGTCCCCTTAACACGTTTCATCGGGGGGGCTCACACCCCGGCTGCCTAGCAGTGCCCTGTACACAGCACAGGCTCAAGGAAATGTGCGTGAATTAATCTTACGCACATCTTACGGCAGCAGCTGCTGCTTTTCAACCACCGTTAGGTAAACTTTTTGAAAAAGTTACTGATCAAGTTAAAATACTAACTACAGCTAGTGGTCATAAGTCAGGCTCAGGAAGGAGATTCTCTTCACTTCAGGCGGTTCGAGGCTTTATTATTATGGAGCACAGTGGAGACACCGGGACACTTGAACTTAGAGATGGTCAGGGCTTTAACAGTAGCTCAGAGTGCACGGAGCTGCTGCCTACGCGTATATTGGCCCTAGTATGTTCTAACGGTCCCAGTCCCGCATACCAACCCTGGGCTAATGAAACTTTCTGCCGTCAGGAGCTTCCAGATGAACTGAAGGTGACCAAATTGCCTAAAAGGTAACCAGACCACTGACACCCAGGTATGCATGCTTAGGCATTGTGTAGACCCCAAATAAATGAAGCGCCCAGTCAACCCTGGCTTCTGGAAATGAAAGGAAATAGCATCTGGACGGCACCGCCACACCACGGCGCTCCTGTGCTGGGTGTGGACCTGCCGGAGGCACGGCCGACTCACACGGCACTGGTGTTCGAGGATTCGGGAAGTGAGTTCACTGTTGCCGTGGAAATCACTGATCAAGGTCACAGACAGATGTCTCGCGTCCCTATCAGAGCCAGCTCTTTTCTCGTCCACTTTCCCCCTAGTATTCAGGAAATGAGACGCTTAAATTATAGTACCTTTCTGGTCAATCTTTGCTTGATTTCTCTTCTTTCTTCCTGCTCTGTCTGATCATTCCTTTCTGTGAACGATGAAAACAAAAGGGAGGGGGCAGGTTGAGACTTGCTTCTCTATAGCGGGGTGCACTCAGGGGGCCCCTATTTCGGAGCCGACTGTGGGCCTCTGCCTGGAGGTGACACCTTTTTCCACGTCGCAATTTGTTTCCCCCGCTATGCCAGCTGCTGCTCTCCCTGGCACGCAGAAGCACTTGGAAGGGCGGTTCTGCCATCACCCCATGTGCTGGGCCCTTCTCTAGGTCACACACAGCCACACTGATGGCTGCTGTGCATTTATTTGCAGGAGAAACGGAAAGCAGGCCCCTCTCCGCTCTAATTGGATGTCGTATCTCTGTGTGTGTATTTACCTCTAGAAACATAGATGGCAAACAAAAACAGCTGTATTGGGATCAGTTTTATATAATATGTATGTTCAGGTATACATAGGAACGAACATTCACAGAACTGTCACTGCTTGGTTTTACCCCCCATTTAATAGTATACATACATTTAGCCAACCAACATAAGATCAAAAACACCCCGTTCAGATTCTGGGCAATATATGCTTGCCTGGGATGGATATTTTCAGGGACTGTTTCCAATGCAGACACGCCCAGGAGCCCGGGGGACTCTGCGGCAGGAGCAAGAACACGGCGAGCCTCATCGGGGCTGCGTCTCTCACCCAGTCGGCTCTGCCCGTGAGTTGTGACTACGAACCTTCACGCTGTGCTCACACCTACACTCGGGAGCTAAGAATAGAGCAGAATGCTGGGATGCAGCGTAAAATCCATCCTTGCCCTAGGATACGAGATAATGAAAGTCCTATTTCTGGTACTCTGCTGCTAAATAAAGCCTCAGCGCCCTGACCTGACCCAACAGACTCCTAACCCAGGAAAGGGCTTCTCTGCCAGCACTCCTAGAAACGTCGCCCCGGGAGGGGACCCTGCTGCCTGCACATCACACTGTCTCACACTATCAGCCTTCACTGAAAACATGTCAAACGTCCATGCGCTCCGGAGGCTGGGTGCATGGGTGTTTAATATGCTAACCCGTGTGCGCTCACCAATTTTTTTTTTCTTTAAAGGAAGATTCATCTCACGTTTGAGTGTTTTAGAAAAGGAGATAAAACCCGATTATGCTCTCAGTTCTAAATCCAAGTGATAAACCTGAAGGAACCACAGTTATAAGCTCTAGTCAGAAAGCTGATAACACTATCAGAAAACAAAATTGCGAGAGTATCACATATAAGGCTGAGGGTTTGAGTGATGACAGGAAACTAATTCCTCAGGTTTCCTACAAATAGGCCGTGGACACTTGGCAAGTGCAGCCTTGGCATGTGAAAACACTGACATCAGACCTTGCTTTCCGTCAACCGTGGACGAGGTCAGCACCACTACCAAGGTCGTGTGAGCACAGGTGCCTCACGGAGCACAGGCGCCTCAGGAGCTGATCTTGGAAAGGTCCTTCTCTGGGCCAGATGCTCTATGGGGCGCTGACTCCATGACGTCCTACCTGGGAGCNCGCCTCTGTGCATGCCTCCCACCTCTGCACCCAGCACCTGCACACTGCAGGGACCTGAAATCTCTGTAAGTGGGGGTTACACACCCCAAGAGGTATGCAGGGGCATTTGATGCTGCAGGAGAAACCAGGGCTGCTTCCCTGTGCCCTCAGTTTCTCCCTGTAACTAGAACGTTCCCTACGTCACAGCAACCACGGTGAACCGCAGGGCAGCAGGCAAAGTTTGCACAGATTTTTATGGGCGGCAATAATGATTGTTATTGTAACAGTGACATCCGGGGCTGGCCATGGCGAGGCCCCGATCGCAATAAAGGGCTGCGATACCGGCATCAGGGGCTCGTTGTAAGGACCAGGGCGGTGACACGTGCACAGCGTCCCACATCACGAGGGACACAAAGCTTCCTTCAGTGCTGCTGACGCTGAAGCAGGCACAGGACCCAGCCCCACAGTTGTGGACGTCACTGCTTCATTAACCCTGACACAAGCCGGAACCTAGACCTGGCCATAGGTAGTATCTCATCCGTTTTCTGCCCTCGCATGCAAGATGAGTGGGGGACACGGAGGCATCAGGTGGTGATGCCCAGTGGTTAGGGACAGGCGCTCCCAAACCTCCTGCCTGGCCGCTCACTGACTGTGAGACACTGGGACTCACCTCCACCTCTCTGTGCCCCATTTCCTCATCTGCAGAGGGGACAACAGTCCCTGCCAAGGACTGCGGTCATGCTGGGAAAACAGTCAGCTCAGAGCCCAGCGAGCAGTCAGGGGTCAGCCCTTCCTATGCGCCGCTCCTCCGGTTGATGTTGTCATGAAATCTGGCCTCAGAGGCTGGCTCTCCCTGTCCCACTTATCTAAAATTCGTAGAGGACACGTCTGCAGAAATGAGAATTGCCACTCATGCAAGTTCAGGTACAAACCCACAGCTGAACAAAGGGCCCGAGGGACCCAGCTCAGGCGGCTGGCCCTGCCCATGTCCACTCGGTTNTGAGTGTTCTCCGTGCAGCATCTGTTCCAGCTAAGCATGGCCATGTGAGGAGGTTCTGACCGAGAACCTTCTTGAAGAGCTGCCTCAGGTGGGGTGTCTGCACCTTTGAAGCTTGAATGGGATGTCTGGTGCTCCTGCAGCCATCTTGGGCCATGGAGGATAAATGCCAGTGTGAGGCACGTTGAGCAGGAAGGTGGAGGAGCCTGGGCCCTCGGTGACTGCGGAACAACCATGTCAGGCCTGACTGTCTGCAGCTATTCCATGGAGAAGGCTGCATCCAGGTCTGGTGTCCAGAGCCAGCTGGCCTGCCTCAGTCCGATCTCAGTCCATCGCCTACCATCTGTGTGACTGTGTACATCTTAGCTAACCTCTCTGAGCATTTACAGCTTAGGCTTGAGTGCGTGCAGGCAAAGCACAGTCCGTGGCACATAACGTAAGTTTCATAAACGTTACTGAGCTATCATTGCATTAGTATTGCTATGACAACCGCTTGCACAGGGTAAGCCCCAATCCCAGGAAAAGCAAGGCCAGACATATTCAGGCCCTGCAAGCACCCATTTCACTGGCTCCGACAGGTCAAGTCCCTCCCCCAGGCTCACTCAGTCCACAACTCCCAGCCAGGTGACCTCTGGACCCGCCAAACCACCTGCCCCCCTGGGTTGGAGAGTCCTGTTTATTGACACTGAAGGGAGGTTGATGTTGCTTCGCGTTTTCTTATAAAACATGCTGTTCCTTCCTCGACAGACTCCCAAGCAACCGAGGAAAACAGAGAGCAGCTGACCCTGTGCGGTGACTCAAAGGACAAGGCGCGTGGGCTCACTTCACACTGTCACCAAACAAGGGAGCCTGTGCTCGCCCTGCAGGGACCACCGAGCCCACACAGCGTCCCCTGTCCCTGCTCACCCCAAGTCCTACCCTAAAGACCAAGGTGTATATTTCTATCCTCCGAGGCTGAGGTTTTGTCCAACTTTTCCCAGTTTGGAAGCACCGATTTCTATTGCTTAGTTACGTCCATGTTTAGGACGCACACTTTACTGCCACTCTCTGTGGGGCGGCGATGCCTGCCTCCCGGGCCTCGCCTGCCTCCGGGTCAGAGGTCATGTCATCCTCCCCACACACCCCACAGGCCTTGCTCACAGCCCCATCCCACGAGTCCCTTTGCATTTTTGTAACAAATCCTTGCAAATGCCCTAATAAATCCTGGCATTCTTCTTGCCCGAGAGAATGTACTACTTGGGGAAACCCTCCCCACAGCAGCGGACCTGACAGGTGGCATCCAGTTACGGGTCTGGGACGGTTTATCCCGCTAGAACAGACCTGACCTCAGTGTCCCTGAGGTTTCTAAACAGAGATGGAAGCTCCACAAACACNGAGGCTTCGTTTACACCATATAGAATAGTCGTCTCCGTGTCTTAAGTTTAAAAAGTAAAACAATTCTTAATCTGAGGGCTATTTCCAACAGCCCAAAAGGAGGGGATTGTTTGGGGCACTTAATGAAGGAACCGAAGCGAAGGAGAGGAGGGACTCAGCTCACACTCAGCACCCGGGGCGTGAGCTCTGCCCTCTGCTTCCCCATGGAGCGCCCACCTCGTAACTTGCTAAAAAGATGTTCACGGAATAAAAACACCAAAGCCAGAGAATGTCTGCAGGGTTCACCACAGAAAGACCAAAAAAAAAAAAGAAAGAAAGAAAGAAAATACTTTAAAAATCCAGGCCCTTAGAAGGCACTTTTTGCAGACAATGCTTTGAAAACTGAAGTCTGTTGACCAGAGATATAAGGACGAGCTGAAAGCACTTGCAGAAGGGTTTACCTCCCAACTCATCAATGACTTGAATGAGACGGGATGGTGTTCTCTAGACGGCGCGGGATAAGTGTGGACACCAGTGTCCATCCAGCACATATCACCACATACCTAACTGGGTGGGTGTGATGCTGGGAGGGCAGAGCCCGAATCCATGCCTCACTGTTCCAGACACAGCTGCCTGCTTTATCCCCGCCAGGTTTCATGGAGGGGGTTTATGACCCTGTCCACCGTGCCTGTGTCATGTGTGGCCATCAGGAGGCCCCATCCAAAGCTGCCAGGGAAACCTGCCTGAAACCCGCATGGGAAAAGAACATCATATGGGTGCATTTCCCTTAGATCTACAGGGCTGACTAATTAAAGAACGCTGAAGACAGGGACTTCTTCCATCATGCCGGGGGGAGAGCTTTTCCGCCCTGTGTCTTAAAACAGGGGGTGTTTCGGGGTGTAGCAACTTTCCTTTAGATTTGCTTTCAGAATTGCTCAGCTGCTCAGACTCACTGGGGACACAGCAGGGAGCTGGGCTGTGAGAAGGGCGGGCGCCAGGGCGACACGGCCCACAGGCGCTAGTCCAGCCGCAGCCACAGCCTCAGCACACGTGCGGGGACACCCAGCGGGATCCCCAGCTACTCACGTTTCAAGATGTTTCTCCTCTCCAGTTCCTCCACCGCAGGTCTTTGGCTTAGCCGTCTGCGGAAAAACACTAGAATTACATTTTGCACCATGGTGGCCGCCTGCAAATTCCACTCAGAGTCTGTGAGGTCCGGGGGCGGCTGTAGCACCCCTCAAGATCGCTCCCCAAAAGCTGCAGGAGAGGAAAGGGACCCCTGGTGGCCGCCTCTTGCTGGCAGGTCAAGTCAGACCTCCCCCAACAGGAGGGAGGTCCCCGCTGTCACGGGGCTCCCGGGGCAGCGCGCCTGCCCCCTCTCCACCGGCGACTCCTCATGTTCAGGTCTGCGCCCCGCCTGGCGGGTCCGAAGGTCCCCGGGGCCGCGTCTGAGCAGCGCCGAGGTCGGCTCGGGGACCGCTGCCTGCCCGGGCGGAGGAGGGGACGCCCTGGCCTCAGCTTCTGCGCCCGGAGCTGCGGGCCCGGCCTCGGTGCCCGGACACCTGCTCTGCTCGGGCTGCCTCTGCGCTCCTGCCGCTGAAGCAGCCTCCGGCGGAGGCAGCGTGACTGAGGGCGCCCCGCCTCCCGGCCTCCCCGCCCTGAGCCCGCAGCCCCCCGCCCCGGAGCGCGGCTCACACTCGGGAATCTCCTCCGCAGGAGCCAGCGCCGCGCCGGCCCAGACCCCGAGCTCTGCGCTGCGAAGACAAACCATTATTTCCTCTCAAACGGCTTCTCGTTGAGGGCGTTGGAGGATGCAGCCCCCCAAATACATAAATAAATAAGGGGCTTGTCAGGAGAGGGAGGCGTAGTTTGCCATAATTAATGCCAAGCTCCAATTATTTTTATAACTCCAATAATGTTATCCTTGGGTCACAGGCGGAATCCGCCCCAGTTCCGGATCTTTTAGCTACTTGCAGGGAGATGGCAGAGCTGAGAGTTGGCATGCCCAGAATGGGGGGGGAGGGGCACAGTGCTTTGTCCCAAAGAGGATGCTGCCTCCAGAAATATTTCTCTCCTATTTATAATCCCTGTCCCAACACGCCAGGGGCGTCCCCAGGGCTCAGCTGCTCCGCCCTCCACACTCAAACAGGAGGACAGTGTGCTCCTCTGTCCCCTCGGGGGCTTTGTGTGTCTGCTGGCTCTGTGGGTGGCTGCTTCAACATCCCGAGCTGATGTTGGGGCAACATGAACCTGCTCCCTGACAACTCCCTGCTGGGAAGGGGACTCCTGATCGGTTCCAAGCCACGTGCAGAACCCCCAGCTCACTGGGCGGGGCTCCTCAGCCTGGTCAGGTCCCCAAACGCCCTTC